CGTTTTATATGAACGTATATAATAGGACTGAATATCGTGTAAATATCAGTATTTTTATATCTACGATAAGTTTTATATGTGTATATAACTTGTATTGGGTGTTTTTTGTTTTAGCTATTGTTTTATTACAAGTGTGCATGCTTATTACAATCAGCGTATAAGTGATTTCGTTACATATTAGCGATTGCTTTATCTTTTTTTTTATAAATAACGTATACTTGTACATAGGCTTATGAATTTACATTCACATTGTACCTTGCAGTTAAGGTTGTGGTTGTGCTTACACAGGCATTTACTGCACAAACAAAAGTTGCAGTCTTATCTAATAAGATGTTTAGAAAAATGATGTGTATCAGAATATAAATTTGTTATAAACCAAAACATATGCTTTAACGCACTTCCTTTTTACATGCACTGCAAGCGAATTTTTAAAGATTCTGAAGAATAGTTATTATTTATTCAACCACTAACAACATTTGTTTGTAATTTTATTTATGCAATAGTTTCATTCCTGTTTCGAATGGTAATGTAGAAATAATTATTTTTTAGAATCTCTTAGCACCGATGCCTCCATTATTTATAGACTTAGTTGTTGTGTAGTAGTTGAACCTTTTTTTGTATCGTTATCGTTTTGTACATAAGTCATATACGATACATTTTTTTTTTGCCTTTGTACTGAACGTTGCTTTTGTACTTCTTCTTTTTAACGAATAAACATTACAATTTGGGCACATGTATATGATTTGTCAGTGTGCATGCTCGTTACCTTGCAGTAGCCGACTGAGCTCGCGAAGTTCGATCCCCCTTCTGCAGAACCTTCCAAGCAGTGTAAGGACAGCAAAAGCAGAACGTCGCTTGAAGGAGAGACTGGTACAGGAGGTATTCATCTTCTTGAATCTTTTTTTAATCATTGCAGTTTCTCATTTGCATTAATCATATACTCCAAAATTTGTTGAGCATATCAGGTCTAAACAATTTAATCAAAATACTGATAATTCAATAAAATGGTTTAATATAAAGAAAAATAATTGTTTAGTTTAAAATAAATCATTTTTTATTATATTCTAACTGTTCTGTTATTTTATAGGGGATAATTTCGGATGAAGATGAAGAAAGCAATTTGAGTCCTGCTGAACAAAGAGCTTTAAGAGCAGAAAAACGTGCAGCATGGAGACAGGCGCGTTTAAAATCTCTTGAACAGGTAAACTTCAGTTTTCTATTTCTAACTTTTCGTCTTTCATAAAAGTTTATTCAAATTAATGTTCTTAATAAACATGAAACATTTAGGATGCTCTTCAAGCCCAAATAGTAATTAAAAAAATGAGCGAAATGATGGATACTGCGAATAAAGCAGATACCCTGCAGGATTCCACTGATTCCGTCACTCCTGTTCCAGAATCAGAAAAGGCAGCTGATGTAAGCATCTGTAAAGTATTCTCTGGCTCACAAACCGTTAGCAACTATATAGTCTAACGACGTTGTGTTTAATATAAATTAACCAGCATATTTATATTCATTGTAATGATTTAACATAAGTATTTTACTAATTACTTCTTTGCTCGCCTGTGGTTCTAACTTAGCGTTTGTGTATTACAATGTAATGTTAACTACAACGGTATCCTCTTTGTCTGTCTTACTATCATAGTTCACTGCGTTACGGCCGTCTAGTGCAGATTTTCCCAAACTTGCTGTACGCAGCAAATTGGGTCCCCCTAAAGAGATACGCGAATCCGAAAAAGTAGTGGACGAGAAGGTCACTCGGCGTACCGAGGAATATGTGGATGAGGTGACGGGTGAACGTCGTGTACGAACAGTTGAATACGTCGAGAAGCTCATTGAGCGACAGGTACTATAAATTCTAGAACTTGCACAGAATTTAAGCACCACATTATGGACTACAAACGGTTTGAGCGAGAAGGATAAGTTTCTTTAAATTATGTACTGGAATTTAAGTTTATGTATTTGACATTTAATTGACACTAAAAGAATTCCTTTCAAAATTATATATCGTATAAGTATTAAAAATTCACTGAAACAGTGAAAACAGAAAAAATACTCATCAAAATTTGAATAATGTAAGATATAGAAATGTATATGTATGTATGTTGTGTGTATGTATATGCATGCTGCCTTTATAAATTTTTGCTTTATTGCACAATATCTGATGGAGACACTAGTTCAATGGTTGCGTTTGTTGTTCCAAGAATCCAACACTGATCATGGAAGTGCAACCTGCACCACCTTGAGCAATTGATTTCATTTCCACTGACCACTAACAAACTCTTCTCACACTATTGGTAATGCTACTATTGGTTTTCTTATCTACCAGTTTACTTAAGCATGTGAAAGTACATATATTCTTTTAAAATGATACTTTACTGTAATTATTTATACGGTAGTGGTACATATTAAATTTGAATACTATAAAGCTATAAGTTTTACATTCATTGTAATTTTGTAATATAATAATTTTGAAAAGTATTTTTATATTATGATTATATTAGTGTACAAAATATTTTCAGTTTAACTTCAGATGACACATTTTTTCATGTGCAATATATATATTTATGCAAATAGGTTGAAACACTTCGAGAAAAGATTATTTCACTGGAATTAAGTAATGCTGAAGACGAAGTTGAAAGTATTACCGGCACAGGAGCAAGCGATGCTGAAAGCGAAAGTGAAGAAGTTACAGGACAGTCTTCGGCTGTGAGTACACCGAAAGAAAAAACTGAAACAATTATACCTACAAATATCACTGAAGGTGCCGCTCCTAAGATAAGTGCAAATACTGTTGTTGTTTCAAAGAAAAAGAAACGGAAACGTTCGAAAAAGGGTCGTCATTGACCTAAAAAAAGGATTCTGGTGCAAAATGAAAAAAAAAAAACAAAAAGACATGTGCAAGGAAATTGGTGAAACACTTCCTTGTAAACAGCATTGTGAAAGTGTGTTCCAGTAATGTAAACATTGCATTACATTGATCTTTACATATTTTCAATTACAAATCTCGACTGTATTGGTGCATGTAGTACTACAAATCGTTCATTATATGTTGCGGATTCAAAGTATACACATGTATGTATAAGATATCATTTCATATCCATGATTTAATGTAATTTATTTAGGTGCATTCAAAACTATGTTTATTTCTCACATACGTCGTGCTATGTTTTAAGTATCAATTATGCAGTTTCCTAAAATAATACATTTTTCAGTAGGATTAGCATTTCATCTTCACTAAACTGGTGCAACCTGATAATCGGCAATCATCATCCATATTTTACATATGACAAAATGTATATTTAATACTTTCTTCTTTTTAGAAATTCAACTTAAAATATTTCAATTTTGAAGGAATTATTACTTTAAAGAAAATGAGATCTATGATGGAATTATAAATTAGTATTTATATAACATCGGAATAGTATTTTTTTTTTCAATACTATGGTCTTAATTATTTTATAAAATAATTTATTAAAATCAGATCATATAGAAAATTCATATGGTTTAATCTATATAGAATGATACACATTCCCTTTTTTAATTTCTATTCTTTTTCTTCTTGTTACTATTATAAATGGTATTCTTGTGTTGAAACTCAAGTAATTTAAACAACAGTATTTTGGTTATTGAATACGAATAATATAAAATGAAAATTTTCAATTAAATTATAATACATGATTGGCTTGAAATGTATGTAAGATAAATTATAATTAGTTAGCATGAGAATGGAAAGTAACGTAAACCACGATTAATGAAATGTGGTTTGTAAAGTATTTTATTTATTTTCCTTTAGAAATAAGTAAATTAATATATATATTATGTAAAACTGTTTTAATCTATTTGAAGATTCATTTAAAAAGCATATGTATTTAATCATATTGTTAAATATCAACATCGTTTAATCATGCATCTTTAGAAGCAATACTTTAATGTATTTAAAGTTTATTGTTCATTTAATTTAAAAGTTGCCACCAATGTAATGAACACTAGTATTGAATTTTTTAATTGTTCTAAACATAAAATTACAATACATATTCTCGAATTTTATTTTTTGAATTCATTTGTTTTAATTTATTTATGCTAACATTTATTATATTTTGTCGCTGGTATATTTCATTTTACAATACACCAATATATTTTTATAACTGTTTTCGATTATATACTCAATATATGTGATTTTATGGCATATAATTTGCATTGAAACTTGGTAAAATAATTAATATATATATTAATTTGGTAACATCAATAAAATATTGCAATATACGTATTATTTGTATCTTAAATTTAATTTTTCTCATTTTTCTCGTTTTTGCAATATTAAGTAAACATCATTAAGCATAAAAATAATTGTATGTTTAATAGACAATTTTTAATGAAAACAGATTGTATTTTTAGTACATAATGTATAATATAAGCAAAGATTAATTCAGATAAATACACTATTAACTGTGGTATATAGTGCGGTTAAAGGAGCGGGACCAATATTCTGCATATAAATTATACAACAAAAATGAAGTACATTCTTTATAGAAACATTATGTATGATTTGATATTTGTTGTCAATATTATAGCAACAACAATGAAATGATTAATGGCATTGCTTATAAGATATTGTGCAAACATTATGCCAACATTAACACATTTAAAAAAAATGAATACTCTTAATGTAAAATTAAAATTTATAAAAGTTATAGTGTTAAATGTTATAATTGTAAAATCATTTAACGCTATAACATCCTTGCAGAAAACCACGTTCGCTAATATCTTATAATTAAATTTTTTGTTATACAAAACAGGATCATATTTGCAAACTCTCATATTAAAAGTAATAAAAATATAGAAATCGAAATAATTTATATATACCATTACAGTACTTGTATTAGTTCTTATTTATATAACTAATTCAAGAAGAATAATACATTTCGTTGTATACGTTTTATATTTTGATAATATTGCATAGTTTATTTTATAAATAATAAGCTGAAACTACCGATTTTCTTAAATGTGTCAGATTAAATTAGTAAAGTGCTGTTTATATGATTAGTACTAAATATTTATGGTACTAAGTTGACAAATAAATATATATTTATTTATCTGTGTTTTCTATTAAATAATATATGTTTTATAACTTTCAACATATGGATCTGTAAACAGAAGGTGCATGCAAATTTGTTTGAAGAATATAAATATAAAAATCTTATATTTAAAGGTATAACAATTAAAGAAGTGAGCACTGCAATCATCATTTTTGTTCATCTTATCTTTTTGGTGCAATAATTCCTTCCAATTGCGTCTGAAAGAGATTAATGAAACAAATTAATCTTCATAAAATTGTTCAACATTTACAGTAATATACCTTTAACTGTTGATTTGTTTTTTTCAAGAATTGGATCTCTTCTGTATATTTCTTTTCTTCAGCTTCCCTTAATTCAGCTGATCTCCTTTCAGCCTGTTCAAATTTCTGTTTCAATTCAGCAACTGTTTTCTCCAGTTCAGCTTTTTGCAATTGCAACTCATCTGCGGCAGCAATCAAATCTTCTTTCCCTTGTTCAGCCTGTACGAATCTTAATAAAGCTTCAATATTTATTTCTATTTTAAAAATGGAATACATACCTGGAGCGCTTTACGCATACCAAAAGCAATACTGCTCTGATACAAAGTCTGATATGCAGCTAATGTCATTTTAAGTTCATCTCTAACTCGAAGTAAAAGTAAACCACGCTCGGCACAATTTACTGTCACCTGACGTATTATTTCGTCTATGGAATAATATTATTAAAGTTTTTAGTTTTAAATAATACAGTTTTGCAAAGGTATAATAAAAAGGCTGTACCAAAACACTGTGTGTAAAGTTCCCTACGTATTGGACATATACCAGTTTCTCTTGCTTGTCTTTGTTGCAATTTCATATCAAGTTGTTCTTGCAAATTAATAACATCTAATCTTGTTGCTGGTGTACTTGATACCTAATTAAGAATTAGATATAGATTACATAATGCCATTTGTTTCCTTTGACACAGAGAAGCTGTTACTTGTTGAGTCCACGTTTGACCATCATCTTCCCATTGTTTAGGTGGTATAATCCTGTTTAGAATTTCAGTAGTTTCATGTCGTGTGTCTATTGTAGGAATAGTAGTTTGAACTTTACAAGCTGTTGCTCCAATTTTTGGTGCTTGTTCTTTAGGTACCTGTTTTGATACCGAAGTGAATAAAATTGTATATTTTTAGTGATATCATTTAAAGATACATGGCACTATTTAAAAAGAATCGAACCTTTTCTGGACGAGTTGTCACTAACACTGGATTGTCATATTTGACCAGTGTATCCATAGAAGGAATCATTCGATCTTTTATTCCTGTTGCCATTATTTAATTATGCACACTTGACTAACAGGAAACAAAAAATACTGTATAACTGGCTGATTACTGACTTTTATCATAGGCGTAAGATTTGGAACTGTTAATTGTCATAGCAATATTGATGTATCAGATGTTACCAGGTAACAGTACATTCATTGAACAAAAACAAATTATACAACAAAACATTTATTGTAACAAATATCATCAAATCATATAAATTTCAAAATTACAATATAATTATCTTTTAATATAAACTTCTTAAAAATACTTCATGTAAATATATTACAAAATAATATGACATTTTTTTATTTGATCTATGTAGATTTTTCTTATACCTTTATTAGGAATATTTTTCCAAGGTAACCCTTTAATTATTACAAAAATTGTTAATTATCTTTGATATGTATTAAAGTTCAGAGTGTCTCTGCATTATTTTTGCTTCGATTCCCGCGTGAAGCTTTTGAACCGTTCTAGCATGCTTTTTAATGTGTTGTTCCATAGTAGAATTATCTAAATTATAAGGCTTCCCTTGACGTGCAGCTTCTAAAGCAGCTTCCGTATGTAAATGCCGTAATTTAAGTAGTCTACCTTCATAATGTAGAAGTTCCTCCTAAGAAGATAATATTTTAAAGAAGATAATATTTTTATCTATGTGTTGTTTATTTACCTTCAAAGAAGCACGTTCTTCTGGTGAAAATGAACTTTCCAATACAACTCGCCATAAACCTTGTACTTTAGGTTCTATAAATTCTCTGTGATTTGGACCTTTAGCAGTTAATCGATCTAAACGATCAAAATCGCTTCTGATTTCCAAATGCCTTTCCCTAAAATTTCATATTTAAAATTTATTTAATTTTATAATAAATTACAAGTAATTATATGGTGGTGTATACGTATACCTTAGCAAAGCTGCCTTTCCTAAATAATCTAACTTTTTTCCAGGCACATCATTAGAATCCTTTTCTTCTTCTTCTTCAATGACATTCCAACTTTCTGGTTTATGATGCAAGCTATCTATAAACATTGAATATACAAATTACATTATTTCATTTTAAATTGTTACATATCATATGTAATTTAATTACTAACTTTCATGTATTTCTGTATCCCCTGCTTCCACATCTTTCAGAAGGCTCATGTATTCATCTACTTTATCTTGATGATGTTGAAACTCATCCTTTAAAGTTTCCAATTCTTCATCTGTTAGGCAAACATTTATGATATAGTCCAAAGGCTTTGTTTAAAATTTAACAAATATATATGAACTTACGTGTAAAACCTGCTAGTTCAGCTTTAGCCCATAATTTGTTCAATTTTTTATCTTTAAAAACATCTTTGGCAATATAATTACTGCCATCATTTAATGCTTTATGTTTTTTTAATAGTTCTGGATTCTCTGTATCATCAAAATGCTCCAATAATCCATAAGTGCTCATAATCCCTTTAAATAAATTTATTCCAGATTTAGATTGCTAAAGATTGCTGAAATTTAACATTCACTGTTTAATTATTAAATTACCAATAAGTTTCTTTCTTAAACGTGCTTCTTCTTCACCATTTGGATCTTTGCCATCAGATTTGAAATGCTTGTACGCAATTTCTTCTTTGTCATGAATTTTCAAATCACTGAATATGGATTGCAACTTTGGATCTGTTAAACGCTATAAAAAATTATGTTTACCTGCTGTTTTTATATATCGGTTTACGTATATAAGCTTTTATATTGCATTAATACTTACATTTTTCGCTTTTACCCAAAGAATATTTAATTTTGCCATACGAAATGGTTTATCCAGCTCACGAAGAGAGGTTGGAAACTCTAAAGGATCTTCATATTTACCTTTATTTGCTTCAGAGGAATATTTGTTAAGAGCTAAACTTATATCAAATAACAATGCACACAAAAATATTGAACAACAGGTACTAGTTAACAATGCCATTCTTTTTTTAAATGCGGATTAAAAGACTTCATACACCGTTATCCAAAAGACAATTAAATTGCTATATATAATTTTGACGACGTTTACATTTTGCGCAGAGTCAATCACATTAACATCTAATACATCTTACACCTATTTTCTCATTAAATTAATCAACGTTTACAAAAATAAAATATATTATGACGAATTTTTATAAAGAAAAGAATGTAATAAAATTACATTTCAAATTATACACATGTTACGTGATCATTATTTATTAACGATAGGAGAAAAATATTCGCGCAAGTGTATAGTGTATAGAGACATCTATACATCGACAAACTTATAGCAAAATATATGTTTTTCACAATGCTATATGGTTACTATTTAATTACCGTATTTTCATTGAATTTGTTTTGTGAAATATAAAAAATTGCCACTTTGGATGAATATTCGACATTGGTGCCACCATTGATATGCTATACCAATTTACATATGAACTATAACGGAATGTGTTGCAGAGAAGAATATACTTCTACAGATTTAATAAACAGCCATAGAGATTGTTCAATTGTAATAGGCGTATTAAATATCTGATTTACAGAGTTTAAAGAATATTTTAGGATAGTTTCATGATAACGGCATGTGTGTTGATCCGTTAAAGAAAATATGCCATTGGGGTCCGATTACTGCTCTTGGTAGGTGAATTGGAGATAATTTCCAATCGCTTTTATCGAACTCTGAACAAGAAAATATTTATTACTTTTATGTTCTGGAAGTGATAACATTCTATGTTGATTGTTAATGCACTTTGATTATGTTTCATCACTGTGTGAAGGAGAAATTAAATATAGAAATATCGTAAGAATGAATGTGACAATTAACTGCTCCCATTTTGTTTTGTCAGGTTACAGTAAAAAGCCGCGAGATTTGAAAATTTCTAATTTACAAATGTTGTTTTAGGAATTATAAAAATCATCACCCTGATGACAATATACTGTAGTAGACAACGGTGGCCACCACAAGAAAGTTTTTTTGGAACAGTTAATTTTATTCTTTTCTTTTGTCTTAGTGGATCTACTCTTTTTCATTTTATCAGTGCTATTTATGAAGGACCTGGATTTCTTCCATTGAAATGGATGCCAGTATGTATGAATCAATAAAAATGTAAAGCCTTTTCCAGTAATAATTGTGTACAACATTTGCTTTTTTTAGGAAAAAGCAACAGATTCTCAATATCTACAATATTGTGTTGTATGCGAAGGATACAAGGCACCACGATCCCATCATTGTAGAAAGTGTGAGATTTCATATAATTAGATGAAACTAATGTTTTATGTAGTTTATTCCATTAATTTATGACTTTCAGGTGGACGTTGTGTGTTGAAAATGGATCATCATTGTCCATGGATAAATAATTGTGTAGGACATTATAATCATGGACATTTTACAGTATTTTTGGCAAGTGCAGTTGGTGGATGTTGTGTTTCTACTTTTACACTAATTTCTTGGGTAATGACAGTATTATCCTTAAAACCATTATCATTTCCACCACCTTCTGTGTTTATTCTGATACTAGTTATCTTCAGTATTGGTCTATCAATTGGTGTTATTCTTGCAGTTGGAACATTACTCTATTTTCAAGTGAGGTGCTATTATTTGATCAGATAAATAATTCTATTTAAATTGATATAATTTCCATTGTTCCCATTCTTTGTAGCTACTAGCTATAATTAAAAATAGAACAGAAATAGAAGCATGGATTTCAGAAAAGGCTCATTATAGAAGATTTGGAACCAAAGATAAGTTTGTTTATCCATATTCAAAAGGATGGCGTTTTAATTTGCAACAAGTTTTTACATGGGATTGTACACCAGTGGGTGATGGTATACATTGGCCTATAATTGATGACTGTGACCAGTATACATTAACAGTAATGTTTTATTTATTGATTCATAAACAAACATATATTTCTACTGAAAATTGTAAAGCAGTGGTTATCATATTTTAGCGAGAGCAATTAGCACAAAAAAGAGATAAACGAAAAAGAGCTAAGACCTACAGAGTTGTAGAAGAAGCATCTGGATCATGGTTACCACTGAAACATGGCTGGGGTGTATTTTGTCATCCACCTTGTACGGATGAATCCCGTATTAAACTCAAAGTTGGAGATATTGTAGTCGTAACGAGATGGAAGAAGTATGTTCAATTTATCTTCTAATAACTGGTACATTAAGAATAATGAAATAACTTTATAGATATTGGTTGTTTGGGGAAACAAAGAGAAATGACGAAAATGATAAGCAAGTACGAAATCGAGGATGGTTTCCACGATCTTGCGCGATTGAAGTGATTGAAAACGAAGTGTATTCTTCCGCCTTAACCAAAACAGATTGAAACATTCCTTCTTCGTGTATAGTTTTTACAAATTATTTATAAATTTACTATTACGACGAACAATGATATTTTTATCTAGCATTTTATATGTAAGTATTTACAATGAACGTACATTTTTACGTATTTCAATGGTCTAATATAGAAATGACCATTCGAAGCTAGGCCCGAGTCAGGCTTGCACCTATTCCATGTCCATTCCTTTCGCGTAGGTTGTGATTTGTGAATGACATCAAAAACGTCGAGTACATGCGGTTTTTTGAAATATGATTATACATTAAAAACAATTATTTTTTATATATCCGGATAAGTGAGTGTATAGGATGACTACTGAGTTTGTACATGAGGAATGATGTATTTCAAAGTAAAGGTGTAATCTTTGAATAAAAGTGATGTCATGTATTAAGAAGTGTAAAACGAGCAAATCTTGGGACAACGCCTTTATAAAAGAATGCAAGACAATTTAAAACCATCTAAATTGACGGTATAGAAAGGAGATGGAAAGAAGAGAAATAGCTTAAAACTTGGTAATCGAATGATCAATTGTTATCTAATCCACCTATTTCATACGATAGTATACTAATCTTAATGTTTCTAGGAAGATAAAAGAGCAAAAGTTTTTACATGAAAAAGCTTTAATTTATATTATGCCTGCAGATTTATTTATGACAAAGCATTAATTGTAAGATCAACTTAACGTACGAACATCAATGTTAAATCGTAATGTTTTCTTATCATTAAATTGTGAAACGGTATTCATAGTAAAAAATAACTTAGTTTGCATTATATAACGAATCATGTAAGAAGAAGAGGGATAAATACATTGTAATTTTACTCTTCCAATTCTCCAGCATCCATTGCATCGCGATATGATTTGTCTTTTGAGCGATCTGGATCCAGTTTGATCATATCATCAATTCTAAGGATAGTTATTGCTGCTTCTGTTGCAAATTTCAAAGACTTTATTTTGGAAATGGCTGGTTCCAATACACCAGCCTTCTTATTATCTTTAATAGTACCCTCAAGTAAATCAAGACCAACCCTATAAAACATATTGGTATCATGTTTATTGTGTTATTAATGTTTTTTTTTCTTTTTTTGCATTACCATTTCAAATCTACAAGATCTGCTTTAGTTTGACTGGAATTGTGATAAGCTCGTAATTTAGCGACAAGATCGGTAGCATCCTGTGCCGCGTTGACTGCTAATGTTTTCGGTATAACTAGCAATGATCTAGCAAATTCAGCGATAGCTAATTGTTCTCGAGAGCTCTGCAAATACGTAAATATATATAAGCACACATATAATTCAGTAAATAGTACAATGATATCAAATTAATCTACCAAGGATGTAGCAAAGTTTTCTAAGTAAATTGAAAGCGCTGCCTCAACGCAACCTCCTCCTGCAACTACGCTTTTGCTTTCCAAAACTCGTTTAACGGTGCACAATGCATCATGTACGGACCGTTCCATTTCATCGCAGTAATAATCATTTGGTCCGCGTAATATAAGAGAACTTGCCGTCCTTGCTTTCGGTCTGTTACAAATAACACACAGTAAGTTTTACTCTTATTTCAATTATTTTTCTGTTTTAAATAATTAAGGTAAATCAAACCCTTTGATAAGAATAAGTTCATCATCGCATATCATTTCTTGCACTACTTCAGCAGCTTCTCCAAGAAAACTGGGTTCAAAACTTTCTTCTCCTTCCATGTTAGTTAAAGAAGTAACAAATTGTGCACCAGTGGCCTTTGCAATCCTTTTCAAATCTGCTTTTTTGCATCTACGAATTGCCATTGCCTTAGCTTCTATGAAATACTATAGAAATACAAAAAATTATATGAGCCTCTATTTATTAAGTTCAAAATTTTACTTTTATAAGTTGTATATACCTTTAAGCACAGATCATCGATTCCACCAGACACAAGAACAACATTCGTGCCCGCGGCTAGAATTTTTTGAATACGTTCTTTCGTAATATCTATTTCTCGTTGACGAACTGCTTCAAGCTTTTCGGGATCTGTGATCAAGACTTCAACGCCCAATTTCATTTTTGTTTTTTGCAGAGAAAAGTCTAGACATGCGATTTTTGCATTTGCTATTCTCTTAGGCATTGCCTGCGAAGCTACAATACAATTCAATGCATAGCCTTGTACTAATACAGATTCCCTAACACTTTTCCCATGAGCTTTCAGAACATTAACAGCTTTTATGGGATACAGAAAGCCTCCTTTTCCATCATTCACTTTTATTGCATTAGCAGCATCAACGACCATATTTCCAAAGAAATCAGCATCACTATTAATAAATTAAGGAAATAACAATTAAATGTATCAATTATTCAATACAATTAAACAGAGAAAAGGATACGCTGAAATAATTTTACTAGACATAGAAGTTTTTGCTACATTAACTAAGCAATCTCTTCCAAGCTCATCAACACTGACTGTTAAATGCTTCTGAATGTATTTACAGGCTTCTCTGAAATATGAATAATAAGTTAAAACAGAAAATGTTTTATAAAGGAAAAAAGTCAATTATTTAGTATCTATATCATCGCTTACTTGCAAGCAAGTCTGTAACCACTAATTACAGATGTTGGGTGAATCTTTTGTTTCACCAACTCATCAGCATTTTTTAATAACTCAGCAGCAATTATTACCTATTTAATTAAGTTTAATTATTTCATTTAAAACTATAAATCACTATTAAAAACAAATATTACATATTTATCAGATACATAAAGAAGCTTACAACTGATGTAGTACCATCCCCAACTTCTTCATCTTGTAACTGGGCCAACTCTACTAAAACTCTTGCAGCTGGATGTTCAACCTCAAGCAAGCGCAAAATAGTTGCACCATCATTAGTAACAGTAACATCCTAAATTATTTAACATATATTAAGTACATACATTTATATATTACATAATTAATAATGTCTCTTAGAAATGTTTACATACACCAATGTCATCTACAAGCATTTTGTCCAAACCAACGGGGCCCAAGGAACTCTTCACTATATTAGCAATTGCACAAGCAGCCATGACTAAAGAAAATAGTTCATGTAAGTATACTTAATACATAAAATTTAATTTTAATCAATGGAATTTATATTATACAATAAAGTTAACATTATTGTACATATTACCTTATGATATAAATAAAAACATTGATATTTTCTCAATACAAATATTAATCATTCTACAATAAAGATATGAAGATATAATGAAAACTTTTTTAATAAGAATTTGTGTTTAATTAAAGTATAACCAAAATTTCAGAAAACGTGCTGGTAATATACCATTTTGTGTTCGTACTGGAGCACCAGACTGCCGTACACCTCCAACAACCAAAGGACTAGCTACTGTTGACATTTTTAAATAATTTCTTTTACTTTTACAGAGTATCACAAGTGCAGGACAATTGAAACTTTAATTGCCGACAAAACGTCTTACAAAATGATCCGCGTGTGTGCCTGTAACTAATAATGACGATCAGCGACGCCTATCCTTGTTACTTCCTTTTAGAGACAAGTTTGACGTTCCTTTTCCATTGGATAACTTACCACGAATTTGTATTTTAATTGGTTGAAAAGTTATTGCCATTCATTTTCTTCTAGAAAAATCTTTCTTGCTATACTTTTAATATTGATTATAATTCAAAATACGTATTCATATGTGGAATATAATACAGTGGATAAAATATTCTAAATAGATATATAAATTCAAATAAAGATCTTATTCAAAAATGATCTTTTTTGTCAATAGTGCTATTTAATTTTAAGTTTGATTATGTTCTCAATAGTTGGCAATCACTTATAACTAAAATTGGAGTAAACATTTTATGGTTAAAAATATTTGTTATTTATGTACATACTACTATTAACTAAATTCTTTAATTAATTATAATCTCTTTCAAATTTCAGATGACTTTTTTAACACACCTGTTTGGTCACACTTTACAAAACTCTAAATCTCTTGTAAGCTCTACTACTAGTAATTTAGGTTTGTACAAATTATTCATTATATGTTCAAATTTTTAAATTTTTCTGACTATTAAATATGTTCTCATATAAAAATTGATGTTGTAAGCTTATATTAAGTAACACTTTTTATTCATTAATAGCATGTGTGAGATACGCATCAAAAAAGGCTAGTAGTAGTACAAGAAATTCACATGGCAATCGAAGACCAAAACATAGAGGGTGGAGAGTACAAGATGGGCACACTGTTCTGAAGTCAACAATATTAGCTACTCAACTGAGACCTAGGTTTCATCCAGGGCTTTATGTAAGTCTAAATATATTTTCCAAAATATGTTTGCAGATAATATTAAAATTTAACTTCATATTTTATTGCACAGGTTGGTATGGGTAGAGATGGTACATTATACGCTTTGGAGCCTGGGAAAGTAGTGGTCACTTGTGAAAAGATTAATCCAAATATGAAACATAAATGGGCTCGGTTAAATTATGCAGGCAGAGAAGACAGTATTATATATAAAAAGTACTTTAATGTTATCCCTGAAAAACAACATGACAGATTTAAAGTAATTGATACTGTTTAGATAAATGTTTATGACTGCATTTATCTTATAAATGAACAATACAGGCACATACAACTAGAAATAGAAAAATTGTTATTTTCTTCTTTTAATAGATTCAGTCCTATACATTTGAATGTTCTCAAATATTTTCAGGCATAGTATTTTCAGCCCATTGAAATGACTGGTACCTTACATTATTTTCATCTTCAGAAAAGTAAGCATATACTTGTGTTTTTCGAACGTGACACGCAGTCCGACATTGGGCTGAAAGTTCAGTTATTGGAATTTCATCGCTTTTGTCTTTACATAGAATTATAAATTGAGAGTGAAACATTATAGGATCTCCTATAAGAAATAAAAATATTTCAATCTGTCAGTAATATTCAAATAAAGAAAGTATGATGTATAATATATACCAGGATATACTAAAAAATCTCCACCAAATTTTTCTCCACTTGTTACATAGTATCCTTTTTCCCATAAATTTTTGAATGTTTTATATCGAAGTCTTTGTTTATAATTAGTAGGATATTTCCATTCCACTATCTCAATATCATTTTTGTCTGACCATGGGTACTCTGAAAACATCTTTCTATGAAATCTTTGAAATAAAAAATAAACTGTTATATTTGTGTCTTTTATGTTATTATATTGTTGTTTTTATTTACTTGTATGTGTTTGAACTAAAGCGTCATTTTTATCTAACTTGGGTAATCTGGCCATTTCTTCTTCTAATAAATCCTGTTTATTTATTTCAATATTATCTAAAGTTTCCTGTATTTTTGGATCTAATGGTTTTTTTGCTTTCTTCTTCCTTGTTTCTATTCCAAGTATTTTTCGTTTTTTGCCTTCTATAATCTTATCCATCATTCCAATCACCTGTAACATTATTCACTTTTTTAATTAAATCAATAAATATTTATATTATTCTAATAAAATTTCTTTAGTAACCTGTTTTTTTCTTTCATCCCTTAAACATTTTTCTTGTTCTATATATAATGTACTTCTATATTCTTCAAAAGCTTGTTTCAGTGAATCCGATGGTGGATTTTTAAAATATGAATATTGTACGAGTCTTGCAATATTTTTCTCAAGTAAAAATGATACTTCTTCTGATTGCAAAAGCAGTGGAAGACCACAAAGTATTTCTTGCCTAGGTTTCTTTGGAAGACATCCTATTAATTCACCAACTATTCTATGATCCCTCCTAAGTTTTAACCAGTCTAAAAAATGCAATAAATAAAAATAACTGTCAATTTATATTTTACATTTTCTTTAAAGTTATACTATATATATATATAGAGAGAGAGAGAATTTTTAAAAATAATACCTTCAGCGTTCCAGATGAAAACGTTATTTCTTGATAAAATTAAGTCTATCATTTTTAGGTGACAAAATTGTTTTTAACTTTGTAACTTTCTCTCATTATGATTACTTTGATTTGTATACACTGTATATGCATTCGATATCAAGACTTTCGATAGTAAAAATATTTTAATTTCACAGATGTCGCCATTCATCATTTCTGAATAATTGTTTCGGGCAGAAGGGGAAGGAAGAAGACTGTCGAACATCTGTCACCAAGCGAAGACTACGTCCGCTTTAGTCCCCAAAAACCGCAATACCGTCATGGCACCCGGTTTAATAATTTTTTAAAGAAAATTCAATACATTCGCAATCAAAGTCGCGTAGAAACAACGATTTTTATCTGTACAAACATTTGTTCATATTTGGTGAGTGATTAAATGATACCAATTATCCTTGTTTACCAGTTGCATAAAGAACAAATAAACGGGACGTGAAGGGCAAGCCCTTCCATTTAAGAACTTGTACTTTTATAACTAACCTTTAAGTTCAAAACGTGCGTTACTTTGTTTATTTGAATGGGGCATTATATAGTTTAATAGTACACTTAGTATTTCTGTAAAACATACTTTGGTCATAACATTCTTTTTATTTAAAAACACTATAACATTTTATAAACTATGAAGCAATAATTAAGGATTTTATCTGTCTGATAAATATAATTTTCTTTTTATGATATTATTTTGTAAATATTTTAACGAAATTTCTGTTAACAAAAGCTGCAATGTCATTATTTTTCATTTTTAATAAATTTTTTATATTTTCCTTTTATTATAAAATGGTTTATGAAATTGTTCATATAGGACATTTTAATATGAAAATAATATTTATTTGTTACTGTAGTCTTGGAAGTATGAGTTCAGGTAGACCAATCAAGTGTGTGGTAGTAGGAGATGGAACAGTAGGAAAAACATGCATGTTAATATCATATACAACAGATAGTTTTCCAGGAGAATATGTTCCTACAGTGTGAGTATTATTGCTATATATAAACATTAACATAAAATAGTTAATAAGCAATGTTTGTATTGTATTTCAGAATATTATTTGTAACTGAAATATTATTCTTTACATAATATTTAATTTCTTAAACATAAGTTTAATCACTTATACAGATTTGACAATTACTCAGCACCTATGGTTGTGGATGGAATACCTGTTAGTCTAGGACTTTGGGATACTGCTGGACAAGAAGATTATGATAGACTTCGTCCACTTTCATATCCACAGACTGATGTTTTCTTAATCTGCTTCTCAGTAACAAGCCCATCATCATTTGAAAATGTTACTAGTAAATGGTATCCAGAGATAAAACATCACTGCCCAGATGCTCCAATGATACTTGTTGGAACTAAAATAGACTTAAGAGATGACCGTGAGACGCTTACTGCCTTAGCAGAACAAGGTCTTAGCGCTATAAAACGTGAACAAGGACAAAAATTGGCAAACAAGGTGTGTAAAATAATTATAAATCAATTTATCCAGTTAACTTAATAATGATTCACTTTAAATGTTATCTATAGATACGTGCAGTAAAATATATGGAATGTTCTGCACTTACGCAACGTGGTCTGAAGCAAGTTTTTGATGAAGCAGTTCGTGCTGTTTTAAGACCAGAACCCCAAAAACGTAGACAGAGAAGATGCATTATGTTATAAACACTAAATAATTGGGAACTAATCAATGTAGGTAAAACCACATATAAACTAACAGACTGAAATTAATTTTCTCACAAAAAGCGAAAAAAAAAATATGAATGTTTTGAAAGAAAAACGGTAGCAGCCCATACATTTCATTGAATTTTTCTGGCAGCTATAAACCATCATAATCGTAAATAAAGTACAATTTTCAGCTCATCGCTATAAGCTGTAAAATTGATGTAAGACCAGAAGCTTAAATAATATGAAAACGTGACATCTTTATAATACTTTTACAAAAATTATTACAGATTTGCATTTGTTGTACATGTAGCATTTCTAAGATAATTTTAAATATTAATGTACTAGTCAGAAGTTAAAGTATTTAGTGAAATTGAAGACATATATGTACTATTACTTTCTACTTTTATAAAATTATAATTTTTTTATGTGGATTGTCATTTTTTATCATTTTTTTTTTTTTATAATATAATATTTTAATTAATGTTTGAATGAATTTAATACTTTACCACAATTGAAAATATTCGATTTTGAAACCTTGATCATGTGAGCTGCCAGATTTTGAAATTTTTATACTCATAATAGTAAAACATTCGTTTTAATATACACATATGATAGGTATTACAATCAATATACTAACAATTTTTATACAATGTAAAATAACATTATAGAATTATTTAAACATACAGTGCCATAGCAACGAAAAAAAGAAATCAAATCAGTAATGCTAGCATTTTTTATGTCAGTTCTAGACAATATATGTATTTTCTTACAGTCTCTTACCAGATGACTAAAAAAAAGATACAAAGGAATTGAAGAATCTCATTGATAAAACATATTTTGTATTTACTTTACAAATTTCGATAAATGTTATAATTGTAATATTTCTTTACACACTACCAAAGAAGTACACTTTATGCATAAAATACTGCCAGGAAATATTTAACTTTGTGAGCAATAGGTGTATGTGAAACATTTTATTGTCTAGAATTTGAACATTCTTTTTATATTACTGCATAATACAAGACATGCTGTAATGTATTATGTGTATATTTATATTTATTTTATTTTGACTTTTAATTAAGTACGGATATTTTAAAAGGAATTTAATGGAAAAACACTTAAACATTTACTTCTGAAACAATTTCTGTTGTTGTATATGGCAGGTACAGTTTTATAGATTGCTGCACTGGTGCAATCTATTAATGTTTAAAGGCTCTAAATTATTTTTCATAAAAACTGAGAGTGCATCGTGAAAAGAAAAAGAATAATCAAAAAGTATATATTAAATTATATAGGAAGATTTATATTACCAGTGACAAACATATGGTGCAAAGTATGCCTATATAATGATCAATATAGCACAATTTGTTTTGAAGGGTGACCATGACATTTTTAGTATTCTGTTACTATTTTTATAAAATTATTAATTTACATAAATTTTCAAATTTAAAACAGTTAATAACATACTTTAGAGTAATAAATATATTGTACAGAACAACTTTTGTTCTTATATACATCAAATGACTTACATTTATACTTACATCTAATTTATTATTGTAACTTCTTCTTATGATATTGTAACATACTTTGTTTACATTAATCTACACTATTGAAACATTATTTTCATAGATCATACATGCTCTCTATAAAAGGACTCAATAAAAGAAAAAAAGATAGTGTGATGATGACTAACAAAATATTCCATCACTCGCGAACATGCTATTTTTTTATATTCGAAAAAAGCTTAGAATGTAGAAAGATAGGATATGCGTGCCATATGCTTTCAAATTTATAAAACGAATAATGAATACCATGATTTGTTTGTATTTGTATTCCATGTGAATTTCAAACGAATTAAAGATATATCATCATATTTAAAATGAACAAGAAAAATTCCTAGTATAAGTGAACGGTGAACTAAAAATGAGGCATATTAATGTTTACTGAGTGTACATACTGTTGCATAGTGATAATATGCTCTAAATTTCAATCAGACAAATGGAAAAACGATGTCACACACATTCTATTTTTTCGTGAATATTTCAGTATGTACACGTTTATTATCAGAACAAATAATCATGTGATTGAAGTATAGAGTGTATCATAAGATGTTTGCAGTAAACTTTTTATACTTTCTTACAATTGCTATAACATTGAACTAGAAATTTATATTTGGAATTTCTACTACACAATATTGGAAATTTACATTTTAGTTAAAAATATACAAACCATTTGTAGTTCCTGTGAGATATTGTTTTCATTAGTACTTCAAAGAGCACAATTCAGGATGTTAATAATATTCTTCTATAAACAGCTTTAAGCTTAGGAATTTTTCAGATTATGTACATACGTACATAAATAGCACATTTATTATAGAGAATGAACAAGTATCGATGGTTTGTTGTGTACTAATTGTATAGAGATTGCATTTATTGTAAGTAGTGCATTTATTTTACAATAATTATTAAAGTTTACCAAACGTAAATTAATTGAGAATAAACAAAACCGAGCACAATCTTTTAAATAATATTTAAATAATATATAATAAGAACCTTTTTGCAGTATTACAATGTAAATACAATTTTTTCGTTGTTATTCTAAAAGTTACTATTAATGATTGAAATTTTTTTTTCTATATTATAGTTAGAATATTATAGACCTCTGAGTTATTTTAACAACAATACATTTGTTCATAATTTTATTTTAAGTGAGAATAAAATATATATCCAGGCAGCTATTTTGAAATAATCATGAAAAATGTTTATACGTGTACATGTGATATTTCTTATTTAGTAAATAGGAATGAAGTTGATGAACATATTAATAGTTCAACTCTGAATTCAGTCATACTGGTAAGATGAATTACACTACTTACAACTTGTGCATTTAATGAATAGTATTTAATATTGACTTTCTTTCCTCTCTTTTGTTATACAAGGAAAAAAAGAGCAACAGCAAAGAATGCTACAAACCAAAGTTCAATATTAATTTTAATATAACGCTTACAATTTTTATTACATATTATGGCATATAAGTATACAAAGAATGAATGTATGAAATGTAAAAATATTCTAGTCACCAAAAAATCTGATTTTATTTGTATATGAAATGTTCTGTTGAAATTTATATTCAAATCACATCTAATCAATAAACAACTAATTATCTTTATCAAAAGAAGAAAACAATCAAACCAAAACAATAAGATGAACATGAAAGTATTAATCTAATTTAAGATATTGTCAATTTAAGTAATACAGAATAAACGAAACAAAAGGAATAAAAATACATTAGAATACAAATGTATGTATATGTTTTAAGATAAATTAATTATCAGTAACTTATAACATTTATCTATTTTCTTAAAATTTCTGTACTAATAAAGCAGCACAAGGAAGTATTGTATGAATAGAAATGATGGTTTTTATTATTTCAATATCGAGGAAGTTACAACAATTGTAATTATTGTGAAAAAGAAAATAACAGCATAAATATTCCACTGGTATTTTAAAATACACTTTATAGCATAATACATACAAAAATTGTTGATAATGAACTTATTTTGTAGTCTATTCATTACATATCTTTTTAAATCCTCCCTTTTGCTGCAAATATAAAATTGAATACAAAGATAAAAATTTTGAAATTAATTTTAACAATCTTACTTTCTAATGAAAAATTTAAATTATAATGTTGATAATACTCAAAAAATGTAATTACATAAATGCATGTTCTACATACCACTTGGAAACATTTATTTTTATTCATATGTATTTTAGCAAGAATTTCTTAAAATAAACTACACAATAGGAATATTTGTATTTTTAATTAGAATTTTAAACCCATAGATTCATTAAAAATATAAACCATAGAAGGCATTTTTTATTAACTTGTATTTTACTATTTTGATAAATCTTACTAATATAAATTTTAGTTTAAAAACTTTATTATACATACCAAAATATTATATAATATATATATTAAATTAATGTTATATAGAAACAGTAAATTGTAAAAGAGAAAATCATTTTTTATTTTATCATAAATATTAATAGGATTTTAAAAAAAAAGTCTTATGTATGTATATATATAGGAGATGTTAAATATTTGTATACAATTTATTAAGTGCTAAAAGTATGAACCAAATCATTCTATTATAGTATTTTTCACGAGAGAGTACGAGTGTTTCGCGCAGCTCGACTGAGCTCAGAAAGTTCCCCCACCACTAGCGCTACCCCACCATGATTCACTTCCATTGCGATCCGCCATATACACGGTGGACAAAATGTACTAATATAGGAACAGCTTATTATAGGACAGAGGTAGTGAATAATTCACAAATTTCTAATCACCCGATATACCCCCTGTCCAGCGTGGCTCACGACATACAGCCGTACGGCGCTTGCGCGTTACCTTGGTAGCGGAGCGTGGCAGAACCAATCAGAGCCAACATGCGCAGACGAGACCAAAATTCGTTCATCTGTACTAGTACTCTCTCGTGAAAAATACTATACAAATAAGTAACCTAACCTTTAAAAATTGTTCAAGACAATATTTTTAAGGATGTTATATAGAATAGCAATTTGTAACATTATACGAAGAACTGTATTTACAAATCCATTACAAGTTACATTAAATAATAATCTTAAGCGTTATAATTTATGTACAAATTATTCGTCTTCACGACAAAGTTTTAATCTAATTACATTTAAAAGATTTAAAAGCAAAAATGTATCTCCAAAACATGTAAGATAATTTAGTTATATTTTAATACTTTGCACTAAATAAATTTACATGTTTTATATTTGTGTTACATTTATATATGTATTAGAGTAAACGTGACATTGATGAAGAGGACGGAGATGAAAATGAAATTAATGTAGATGTTGATGATTTATGTACACCAAAATCAAAAATTATTGATATTGCAATACCCTCTCTTCGACTGGATGCTGTCGCTAAAGCTGGATTGGGAATGTCACGCGCGTACGTTAAAATTTTTGTATCAAATAAATACTGTATTATAGTTACAGTAATGCTTCGAAATAAGCAAGTGGCTCGGGACCGAACAGTTGCTTATTTCGAAGCAGGTAGCTATTCGGCTTGACTTTGTTCTTGAAACGGGACGATAGAAAACGCGAGAAACGAGTGAGAGATCCGAGGTAGCGGCAAATCATAAAGTGATCGGCCGAGCAGCGATGTTATTTTTTGGACAAGGATAGAATATAACATGCCCTCTCATTCTCGCACTATGCTTTATTTCGAAGCAAATATACCAGACTGAGAAAGCATTATATATATTCCATCCTTCTTCTACTAATCGATGTCACTACTCAGTCGAGCGTGAAATTTATTACCCTAAACATCGGCTTCGCGCTTTCATGGACCTCTCACTCGTTTCTCGTACCTCTCACTTTGCGGGCGACTTCGAACAAAGAAGAGGGGATAGCGACTTGCTTATTTCGAAGCAGAGACCACTTGCTTATTTCGAAGCATTACTATATATCATTTATATATATATATATATGTTAAATAATTAATGTTTTTTATTTTCAGCAAATTGGATAAAGAATTTTACAAAAGTAATGTGCGTCTTAATGGACAAAAATGTTTAAAGAAGAGTGCTATGGTATGAATACTGCCCATAATAAGGTAAACAATTTATGTAGTAGAATGAAAGTAATATTATCTGTTTAAATAAATAGGTCAAGGTTGGCGACGAAATTGATCATGTTCTACGAAAATGTCCAGAAAATCCTAAGTTCATAATAGTAGATCGTTGTATATTAGCATCAGTTTCTGCAGATGTAGAAGAAGAAACTATCAGAGCAAAAATTATTCAAGATAAATCTTTATTAATTGAAGATTATAATGATCCATGGAATGGTTGAATAAGATTGTAAAAAATTAGTAAGTATAAAAGTTTGTTTACATATATTTAACATATACCTTTTTAAGTAAATAAGACATTCATTAAATTTATCATTTAATAGTGTACAGCATCCAACAATTTCTATTTTTTAATTTTACTTCGAACAAAATTATCAATAATTTCATTAAACGTTTGTACTTTCCAATATATTTTGTATAACTTGTTTACACTAAAAAAACATTTCTCGGTTTAAAATCATATATAAAAAAAAACTTTTGTTAAGTTAATAGTAAACATACTTACATATGGTACACAGAGTATTCCGTTTAATGATAAACTATTTAAATCTTGTAGGATCTTTGCAACATCAAAATCTTTTTTACTTTGCTAGAAAGAAAATATTTAATAATAAGTTTGCATAAATTTAACGTTTGATATAATTAATCAAATACTCACTTCTAAAACATTCTTCTTATCATCACCATGTAAAAAAGGTAATAGAGCAACTGCAAAATGTGGTTGCTGACATTGAAAGCAATATTTTATAATGTCACTGAAGCACAACATATGTACAACAGGACACGAATATAAAAGTTGTAGAGCTTCAATACAATTATCAATTTGTTCATTAGTCGGGTGTACATCCATTTTTCTGAAAGGTTCTAAAATGACTACTTCCCATCCTAATAGGTACCCATTAGAATTTACAATGGCACTTACAGTTCGTACTTGTAGCAAAATTTTTTGTAATTCGTTAATCTAAAAATATTGTAGATTAAATATAATATCATTATTATACTTATATGTGTAAAAATGTGGTCTATTTACCATTGACAATTTAGCTAGCTGAGTTAAATTTTTATCCCATAATGAGTATTCATATATTTCAAAATCTATACACAGTTGCGAAATAATAACCAGTGCTTGTGGTGTATAATTCTGTGTTTTCCATAAAATTTGTACAAGCTCATATTTGGAGCACGTCTCGAATTCCTTTATGCTGTAACTTATCCCCAGTAGTTCTAATCTACTTATATATATCAATGATTTCATATAATTCCTAAAATAAAATAACTTAAACATTTTGAACAAAATTAAAATACTTTAATGAACTAAAGTACAATTAATACCTAATCGTTTGGTAATCGCGTTTAGTTAACTCTTCTAACTTAGCAGTATCAAGTATCATCTGTAATACACGAAGAGCTCTATAACGTACTTCAGCACTGTAATCTTCGTTTTTATCAACAAAACATATATTTATAAGAAAGTTAGCTGGCAATTCGATGTCTCCATATTCAAGAATGTAACATGCTCTAAAATTATATTAGATGCTTTCAAATATTTTGCAAAAAAAAAAGAATTAAAAATTTATTATTATACCTTAACAAGTTGTCATCGCAATTGGAATTTGATTCAGAATTTGTCGTCACAGAAAATGTATCTGTTATACTCTGATTAAGTTTTGTGTATTTAACATCTGGTTGTAACCATTCTTGTAACAGTTCAATCCGTAATTTTATTATGTTAATAGAAAACAGCTGACTAATATAATCAACTGCAGAATTGATATCAGGTCTATGATCAATAATAACGCATCGATATCTTTGTGGTATACTTTCGTCCGAGTACAATTCATGGACTAGCTTAAACGGATTTCCAATTAACTCCAAATATTTCTTTTTTTCTAAACCGTGGGTACGTAAAATATGTTCCGATGTAAAGCGTAAATATTTGAATTTAATTTTCTAAAATAAATCATTTTCAAAAGTTAGATATACATATTCTTAAAACCCTGTAAAATTATATAAAGATACCTCTAGCATTCCCTCTTCAAAGACTGTAGATTTTTGAGCTGCTAATTGAGCATATTTGTAACATTCATCAACTGCAGCTACTTGATCAGCACCTGGTAAAAATGAAGAATTATTTATTCAAAGTTGCTTTCTTGGTAAAATATTAATGTTTTGGAGATGTATAATGTACCTGGTGGTGTATGATTCACAACATAATATAATGCTGCTGTGCCATAGTATAATGCATCTGGACCAGTCATCCGTTCTATGCATCTTTTTATGTCACTTAATAAAGTGGTGTTCTTTGGATAGAGAGTCCATTTATCCGTTTCGCGTTTATTTCCCCAAACGTGTCTTATTTCGCCTTTAATAGCTAATGTACATACAATATGAGATTGCAATTTAAGAATAGGGGCAATATCTAACCATTTTTCATAAGTTTTTAGATTTAATTCTGGACCTGGAAATAGTTTAGTATTTAAATATTTTTAAACGTCATATCTTCATAAAGAATGATAAATAATTCTTAATACAGAAATTTTACTTATGAGCTTCCATAATTCAACTTTGGGTAAGAAAGGTAATCTCCATTTTGCTATAGGCGGTAAGAATGTGTATCCTGGATTAAGATGTATCCAGTTATCACTTTCTATTTGTGTAGGTTGGCTAAACGTATTAAAAAAAAATATTGACGTATTTTGATTATAATTTAATCAGCATTAAAAATATACTTACCTAGTACGCATATAATTTTGTAGGAAAAGGATATAATTTCTATGTTCAGTACTTTTGTCTTTCATAAGATCCATAAGAATTATAAATATTTCATAGTAGTAGAAATTAATCTGAAACAATAAGTATAAGGTTTTGCACATATTCTATAACAGTAATAGAATTTGCGCATGTACTAACTTGTGAGAAAATAGTTTTAACACAATTCTTTAAGGCAGCTTTATCTTCAATAATAGCAGCAATTAGATTACACTTTTTTCGTAATTCATTTATTTCGTCTTCATTAATGTGCAGTTCTAAAAATAAGTACCGAAAATGATGTATTATCTTATATACATTAACAACTTCGTATTTCTATCATCTTTTTACCCTTTTTTCCACTTAAATCTTTTATAATGAATTTCGGATTCCATGTTTTTATTACTGTTTGTAAATAAAGTAATAAACAGTCTTGAGTATTAAATCCAAAATCAGTGCAGAAATGTTGTAACAAATCGATGATGTCATCATCGTTACAACTCATAACGTGTTGCAGTATTTGTCTCTGAGTTGTAGCATCACCTGTTAATACTTCTATAAATGCATAAATAAATATTTTTATTACATAACACGATAAAACATTTATTTAACAAATAAGCTAATTTCGACCTTTATACGAGGTAGAATATTTTGATAATTTTAGTGCCCAACAGTGCATCATTTTATTAGTTTTAAATATTTGTATATTAGTTTCATTTTTTAATAAACGAAAATATTCGTAACCTAGTACTGATATTCTTAAATGTTGAGTACAATCTGGTTGAAATCTGAAACAATACATTTTCATAGTACTTCCAGCTTTTTAATTCATAGAAATTAAATTACTTACGATTTATAGGTGATAGAAATCCATTTATACGCTTCTGATTCGGATAACATGAACAAACAAGACAACCCCAGTTGAAGATCAAATGATCGTGTACTTATTACTTTTTTTAACAATATTATTAAATGACGAAAATATACTGATGTAATTTCGGATAACAAAGTAACATCTATGTTTGGTCTAACATAAAAACTAAAATACAAAGTTTTTATCATTTGCAGTAAACAATAATCGTTATGTTTTACTTTTAATTTCTTTATATTGTCAAGTAACTTCTCTAATGGATTTTCCTTATTCAACTCCGTATCTAGATTATCAGTATAATGAAAAATTAGTTATATATTTGTAACTAATATAATAATTATTATTAATAACTTACCAGATATAAATTTAGTTATATAAAACTTTTGTATAGAAATTATATTTCTAAATAATGGCAACAAAGATTCATCTGTAGTTATAGCTAGATCTTTATATATTGTATATAATTTCCAATTTGATTTTAGTATTTCATTTTGTTTTTTATCCGCCGAGTTTGAATTATACGTTATCTTTTCACTCAAACACTGTTGATACAAATTTATCCAATTATATAACAATAACATGGATTGCAAATCCTCTGAAACATTGTTTTTAAATATTAGAATTTAAACTTAAGCATTATGGAGACTTAAAAGTTGTTGATTTTGAGACAGTGTCTGGTTGCATACCATCTAAACAAACACATAATGCAGATGAACTTAAATTTCGAATTGCAATTGCAACTGCAATATCTACATCCATTTTGGCATATTGTAGTATTATTGAACATATTTTATATATGTACTGACATTCATCTGTCAATAAATGAAATGATTCCTTTTCATATCTAAATTTCAAAATAGGACATTGTTTTACACTGGTTAAGTTTTGTTCTTATGTATGAATAAAAATCTACTTACCTAAAAAAATAATTAAATAAATTTACATTTTTTGTCCAATTTAACAATAAAGATATAGCATTTGTTTTCTGTAATTTCAATAATTCTGCAACTTTAATAACTTTTTTGCATGTAATTAAGTCATTATTCTCTTTCATTTCCACTAAAACATTTTTATAAAAAATTAAAAATGTATATAAATTATTGTTAACTGTACAACATAATGAAGAATTATTTTTTACCTTTACATAGCTCTTCGATATATCTTTGTAATATTTGTTCTTTATTAGTTTGATACTCGTGAAATGTAATACTGATTTGATAATCTTTCTTTAAAAAATATATAGATTTTACTTCATCTATATTATTAATAATGTGATTACAATAATTTGAATGAGTTTTGCACTCCTTGGAGAGTTTTCCTAATTGTAACTTCACCCAACCCAACATTTCAATATAATATGCAAGAGATTCAGGTACAGTCTAAATGATGGATGCAAATTTAAATGACATGTGTATCATCCTAAGTATAAACTTTTTAAAAAATTTAGTTACGTTAATTACCTTTAATCTCAAACTAGATATTACATAATTAACAATTTGTATACAGCAATATAACAGAACTTCTCTTTCTAAAGAGTTTAATATTTCCATTACTTTCGTAAAATTCCTACAAAAAAATATTTATTATTAAATAATTTCAAATGATCATTATAATTATTGTTCATTCAAATTATCTTACCCTTTAGATAAATAATAATTTATACAAAATGAAAATGCCTTTTTCCTTAATAATGGATCATTTTTTGTTATACATTGAATATGTGAAATCATTTCATCATGATTTTCTTTTATGATACGATGTACTAATCTCTAGAAAAGAGATTTATAAAAAAGATATCATTACATAGCAAAATATATGTTGCTTTATTAAAAAGTATTTCACTCACATCATTTATACCAATGCGTTCATACCCATATTTCTTCAATATAAGTTTTATTGGAACGTAATTGCGTTCTGTTCTAATTTGAGATGCTAAGATATGATCAACAGTACTGCTTGTTTCTGCTAGATTCTTAATAGCTGGACTCCATGGAACAGAAACATTTTTTAAAACTTCCAATACTTGTTGTAGTTTAGTCTAAGCAAATCGAAAATGTATTTAATATTTTTAATTTTAGTGTATGGAATTTTATATAATTTTTGCACCTGTACCTCTATATTTTGAATTAAATCAATAATAACGATAATTTTTTCCTCCCATGTAGATTCTTCACCAGACCAACTTCTAGAATTTCTTATTGTCTTCTATAATTAAAATTATTTACAACTTTTATTATATGATATTTAATAATGTGTTCGTTCATTCATATTAATTATACCTGTATATATAAAGTAAAAACATAATCGTTTTTCAACGAGTTATTTAACATGTATTGTTTTAAAAATGTATTTACAAATTCTGGAATATTATCTACGTGTATCCTATCTAGTAACATGTGAGATACTTCTATCGGATCTCCATTATACAAATTAAGAGGTACTGTTAATCTGCAATTTTAATAATACACGTAACTTTAACACGGATATTTTTTTTATGTATTAAATAAGATAAAAAATCGTTACCTGTAATTCAATTTTAGTTTTTGAATATCAGACATAGTTTGTGTTAAAAGAATAAGCTGTTTTAAACTGGAATCGTTACTTAGATACTCTTGATGGAAATATAAAGACTGATGATTTTCCTCAAATTTAAGTAACTTTATAAATCTATTAGCAAAATCAATTCCAATTCGAGGCCATTCGGAATAATGAGTTTTTTCAAATAATTTAACTTTCTTACATCCCCAGCAAATAATTTCACACATTGCACTGGGAACGCAAGACAATAACGTTGGTATAAAATGTGATAACCATGGCCAAAGGACAGCTGAAGATGTATTCTCTGGAATAATTGCAAATATATCTTTCACAGTTTTGACGGATATATATTTTATTATTTCTGGAAGATGTCTAGTCCAAATCAAAGCTGCTACTTCCATTTCTCCCTGGACAGAAAATATTTATTAGTAAATTCATTATTTTTAAATTCATATTACATTTATCATATTTTACCAAATTTATATAAGTTTTATATTCTTCTACAAAATTTGCCTGTTGAAACCTTATCCATTCTTTCATAATAACGTCATCATAATACTGAGATTTCTTTTTACATTCCCAAATCATGTGGAAAGTTTCTAATTTATGCAACATATTATTAATCAAATAAAGAAGATTTAAATTCTCATTACTCTTCGTTTCCTACAATTAATTTATATAATTTATAATATAAAATATATATAAAAAAATACAAACATAATCACTTAAGAATAACTTACTGTAGTGCTTTCTATTATTCTTGAACGTGCATATACGTGAATTTTTCTCATCTGTTTATAATCAGGTATAAGTGCTTTACTACAGCACTCTACTATGAATTGCACATTTTTTATTTTGTCAAGTATACTAAAAAGCATATCTAATTGAATAGGAACACAGTTCTTTTTTGCCCAAGGTTCCAGTTGCGATAAAATCAATGTTGCTTTTTTACAATAAATAGGTTCTGTAGATAAATTAAACGTTTTTGCTAATGCTTCAGCTGCATCAAACTGCTCCTTCCTTAAAAGGCATTGTAACTGATATTCGGGAATACTTTCTGATACATTTTTGACCCTAATTGTATCTATATAATTAGTATTACTCCTCAAACCATTAACTCCTTCCAGGTACAAAATTATTTCATCACAAGGATCCATAATTTCAACAAGATATGTCGTAATAGGTACAGTTATTCGAAATTTTTCTTCAAATTCTAAGTAAAAAGATACAATTGTATAATAATGTATATCAAATGTGTTAGAAGAATAAGAAGTAAACATGTTTAATACCTGGAAATGAAAGAAAACGTACAGTATTTCCAATGCAATTATCATCGGATTCTGCTAGTACAAGAATTTGACATGAACTGTTATCGTTATTTTCAATTATTGTGAAATCTAATGCACGTATAGTATCCATGTATACTCCAAGTAAAGTATGAGGGCATATCATCTTTAATATGCGATCTTCACGTAAACACAACATAGCCCTAAGATTATTAAAATTAATAATCTATTTACCATTAATTTTTTATCTGGATTATATGAATTACGAACAGAATTATATAAACACTCACACATGGTTCCTAAAGAACTTCACTTTAATATAATTGCTTGATGATTTAAAATTATTGTACTGTTCAGTAGGCCACATAAATAACTTACTTGGACATAACATAGCTATTGATATATCTCTATTTATCATACCTACAGCAGCACATGTTATCTATAAAAAGAACATTAAATTATTAATAAATTTGTTACATATATATAAATTACAAAATAATAAAATAATATACCTCCTCATCGTAAAATCCTTTAAATAATTGTACACACTGAATCTCTTCGGTAAGGTTTCCAATTTTAATATTACTATTGGTTTCATTTTGTTTAACAGACTTCACAAGTTTATTGTTTAATTGTGATACTCTAAAATATAAATATTAATTCTGATTTAAAATTTCAGTTATTTGTATATTTTGATATAATTACCTATAAACAGCTCCATTCTTTGCAATAAGATATATGTTACATTCATCACCTACATTTTGTAAAAATATTGTTATTATCTTATGTCCATCTTTGATATCTCTACATATGAAAGTAAATATAATTTTAAAGTTATAGTTCACTTTTATAACATTAAAAAGTACATCAGATCTTAAACTTACTTTGTGAAAATAACTTGACCATTATTTAATAAATTGAGACAGTATAAGACTCTGCTTGATAATACAACAAACAAAAATAAACCATTGTCAGAGATACAATAACATGTTATCATTGACTCAAAATTAACATTTAATAGTATCTCGTTGCATGTCTCATTTTTGAATATAGTAACTGATTTGTCAATTATTACACAAACCCTTGAATATTGCACAGATGCCAATATATTTGGCTCCTTTACAACCTTAAAAAAATAGAAAACCTATTTTATAGATGTATTTCGTAGATATAAAAATTACAATTTTACAAGTTATATTGAAGACATTTTAAAAAAGGGATGACCGTTAAAACGTTGAACACCTAGAACCTAAATCTGATCAAAAGAGAGTTAATATAATAGATACCTTTTCAGTAAACTGTATTGTGGCAATTGTTACGTCCCGGCGGAAAATTTGAAATTTATCCGCCTTGCGTCCCTTATCAAGCCCTTTTGTGTTTCGGTTTTCCGCCAACCTTTTCATTCCTCCTCCTATATCCATTCTTGTCAAGCCTTTCGAGGTTACGAGAATTTCTCATGCGAGGTACACGAGGAAAGGTCGTTTCTATTTTTCTACTTTTCAATAGTTTACGTGACCTTCCTTGAAATTATCGTCGCCAGCCATTGTAATAAGAAGCTAATACGCACAAAAACTCGGGTTAGCTCGAGTGAGAGAGAGAGAGAGCCGTAGCAGTAACACCAGCGCTGCGCAGTTAGCCAGTACTTCGCATTTCGGGAATTTCCCTTGGTAACTGCGTAGAAACGGGAAAATCGTAATAACTCTTTTGTTAGAAACCTCTTTCTCACTCTGTTGCACAAAGCGTCAGCCGGTCCAACAAGGATCATCGTTACCTGATTGTAATAATGGTATGAGAGAGTGGATGGATGAAACAGATTTAAACAATGAAAGTAAGAGTTGAGAACCCTTACGAAAGCGAACGTCGCGAACGTGCGACCGCCGTTCGAAAATCAAGGGTCGTTCGAAGCAATAAACACTATTGTATCGAAATTCTAAGAACTGCCTAGCGATAACGGCAAATTTTGAACAAAGGAACGTTCTCGAAGGAACGTTCGCCAGATTTAGAACTGTTTAAAATTTATAAAATGCGAAATGCCGAATATATCGAGGCGATAGTTTTAATGCGCGATAGATTGCATAATTCGCCACGGCGTTACAACCACCGTAAGCGCATCATCCGCTGTTAAACATATAAAATCATACTGTTTATTGCAAATCGGGAATGAATAATTTTGATCATGATATACGGATGACGGTTTCCTATCAAACCCGATATTTCAATTTTAATCTATATTTCAATATCAAATCTCAAATTGCATTCCAATTAAACTAATAGTTACATCTTGAATAAATGCCGTTAATCAATTATATGTATAACGAGAAATACTGCGTAGTTTCTGAAAACCGTTGAAACTATCATGGCGACGAATGAGAAAAGGAAGGAACACCAAAGAAAGGGGATGAAAGATCTTCGTCTAGCTCGTGCGTCTTAGCCAATCACCGGGCACGCGACACTTCCGAAAACGGGCTACGATTCGCCAAACCGTCCCCTCCAAGGACGATGTTCGCGCGACGGGCCCTTCGGCCCAGTGATGCCAGAATCGTGGGACGTGGGACAAATTTTTACCCTCTCCACGACGTCCCACGACGTCCCAGTGATTCCCCTACCGCAGTTGTTTCATCTAACACAAGCGCGTTGTCCCACGTGTCCGTGTGAGCTCTGCGGGTTTGGTAGAGTTCGGCTGCTTTCGTCATTTCTACGTTATCGGCTCGATGCTCAAACCGCTAAAGCACGTGGCAGCAGCATCGACGAATCGACAAAATAATATAATTTCGTCCATGGCAATATGGTAGAAGTGAGAAACCAGGAGATTCAGTTCGAATCCCGATTCTACGGTTTCAGTTCTGATTCTTAATGCATTAACGTTTTTTAATACATGAAAATACATTTTTAATACATTAAAACTATGAAATACATTAACTTAGGAAGCAGTTAAAAGAAGGAGTTGAACTGCATCTTTCTTTGATATTTTTTTTAATATTTAAGTTTTATATATATACATATGTATGTACGTCCATATGATAAAAGTACGTGATACAGAAGTAATTTCTTCAATTAGATATTACAGTTATTCTAACTATTACAATACGTAAATCCGAAGACATACGAGGAAAATTGGTTAGGTTCAATTGTAAGGATATAAAGAAATTTCAATCTTTAACGGTTTGTTAGTTTTATTTCTTATTCCTTACAACTATTATAATTTTATTCTCTGAATGGTCATTACAATGAAAGATATATTAGATACAACTTGATTCCTCATTTAATTTGTTATATACATATCAGGTTTCTTGCAACTATTGCAACTGGTCCACGCTTATACGATATTGCATATTTTACTTTCCTATAATACAACAAGGAAACAAAACTATAATATAGTGATTACCATAATACAATAGAAAATGTTAAGCTTGCTATAAACCTTATGTGTTTTCTGTGTAGTTATGCTGCACTTTCGCTTCGTTGCTTTATAATGACTAATGACTGATTTTTCTTTTGAATGAAACTTCCACTAGCGTATTGATGAAATTTTTCGATTAAAACAAGATCAAACACGACATAATTTGAATTATACTTACTTTATATATTTGCATTAGGTTTTAAATAAATAAGTAGATATATTGCAAATTATGTCGTGTTAGGTCTTATTTTAATCAGAAGAACCTTACAATTACATTGGTAAAGTTTTCATTTAGCAAAAATGAAAAATAAAAATAGTTATGGTTAAATTAATATTGTCTCACTCAAATGTTTCTTTTCGTGCCCTTTAATTCTCGGACCTCTTTCTCTTTCGCTATTTGTCCTTTTCTACGCTCGCCAGCATTCAAGAACTCGCTCGAGCTATGTCGTTCTGCCAGCATCACATTTTCGTTACCTATTCATCGAATATTTAGTAGAAAGGAAATAGATGAACAGCGATCACCTTTATTATACTATTCATTGTTAGTCATTTATTTCATGTCAATCGCCTTTAGCATATAAAAAACGGCACAAAATATCCTGCATTTTTAATATTTTTCGATCGGTTGTGTATTCGACGTAATATCGAAAACATGTTGAGTTTGCTACAAACTGCTACACACGATGCGTACAGGAGACTGGTAAAATGCTGATTACTTAAGAAAAGCAGCCCGAAAATAAATCTGTTGTCAGATTTATTAAAATTTTTTTAGACAGATAACTTAGTATATTCTTTCAGCATAGAATGTGTTATTATACTGGACTCCCTTGATTTTGCGTTACACTCAAATATTCGATGAATAGGTAACGAAAATGTGATGCTGGCAGAACGACATAGCTCGAGCGAGTTCTTGAATGCTGGCGAGCGTAGAAAAGGACAAATAGCGAAAGAGAAAGAGGTCCGAGAATTAAAGGGCACGAAAAGAAACATTTGAGTGAGACAATATTAATTTAACCATAACTATTTTTATTTTTCATTTTTGCTAAATGAAAATTTTACCAATGTAATTGTAAGGTTCTTCTGATTAAAATAAGACCTAACACGACATAATTTGCAATATATCTACTTATTTATTTAAAACCTAATGCAAATATATAAAGTAAGTATAATTCAAATTATGTCGTGTTTGATCTTGTTTTAATCGAAAAATTTCATCAATACGCTAGTGGAAGTTTCATTCAAAAGAAAAATCAGTCATTAGTCATTATAAAGCAACGAAGCGAAAGTGCAGCATAACTACACAGAAAACACATAAGGTTTATAGCAAGCTTAACATTTTCTATTGTATTATGGTAATCACTATATTATAGTTTTGTTTCCTTGTTGTATTATAGGAAAGTAAAATATGCAATATCGTATAAGCGTGGACCAGTTGCAATAGTTGCAAGAAACCTGATATGTATATAACAAATTAAATGAGGAATCAAGTTGTATCTAATATATCTTTCATTGTAATGACCATTCAGAGAATAAAATTATAATAGTTGTAAGGAATAAGAAATAAAACTAACAAACCGTTAAAGATTGAAATTTCTTTATATCCTTACAATTGAACCTAACCAATTTTCCTCGTATGTCTTCGGATTTACGTATTGTAATAGTTAGAATAACTGTAATATCTAATTGAAGAAATTACTTCTGTATCACGTACTTTTATCATATGGACGTACATACATATGTATATATATAAAACTTAAATATTAAAAAAAATATCAAAGAAAGATGCAGTTCAACTCCTTCTTTTAACTGCTTCCTAAGTTAATGTATTTCATAGTTTTAATGTATTAAAAATGTATTTTCATGTATTAAAAAACGTTAATGCATTAAGAATCAGAACTGAAACCGTAGAATCGGGATTCGAACTGAATCTCCTGGTTTCTCACTTCTACCATATTGCCATGGACGAAATTATATTATTTTGTCGATTCGTCGATGCTGCTGCCACGTGCTTTAGCGGTTTGAGCATCGAGCCGATAACGTAGAAATGACGAAAGCAGCCGAACTCTTTTTTTTTTTTTTTTGTTTGTAGAAGAGGAAATGCATATATGCACGCGCGGGATGCTTCCCCTTTCGTCTATTCGGCTAGAGGGGGCCCGGGCAGTGTGGGACTCATACCCGCCCTGAAGGGGCAGCCTGGCGCCCATTTGGTGGGGGCAAACCCAAGGAGGCAACCGCAGAAGGGGGCAACCTGGCAACCCGACCCTGTGGGTGGGGTTTTGGCCCAAGAGTAGGTCACAGCCCAGAAGGGGCGGCCTAGTCGGGTAGTCCGGAAGGGACAGTCCCGTGGCTGGATATACTACCCGCTAAAACCTCTCCTCTACGTGGGCCGCCGGTACCTTCTCATCCTTTGGGATCTATAAAGTCTACCGGCGTAAGTCACAACGGCGTTTTGGCAATTCAACGCATTTCGCGTTATTCCGTCCTCCCTTGAAACGCCATGCGTAGGGCATGGGGCATCGCGGATCCGCGCCGTTGCACCTCCGATCAAGCGGTAGGACCTTTCAACCTGAGCATCAGCGCAGGAATTTTTCTTCAGTGGCGACCGGCACGGGGCCTCCTCCTGGATCGCGCCTTCCTGCATGATCGCCACCCCACTTCGCCTGCCTAGCACTTTTGCCGGGGCAGGGGTTGTTCTTCAGCACGGCCAGGAACAGGGACATCGTATCTCCACAGTTGACCGTGCCCATCTTCGTCCACCATGTAGGTTGCTGATGTTGTGCCTTATCCCTGAGGTCATCCTTACGCCCACCTGTCCTGCCACGAGGACAGGCCATTTTTCTTCAACCACGATCGGCACCGGAGGACTTTCCCACTCAACGGGTGATCGGGCCGTGTGTTCGCCTGCCTGGCACTTGCCAGGACAGGACTTTTTCTTCGGTCGCGATCAGGACCCGGGACTTCGTATCTCCCGGTTGATCGCCCCAATCTTCGTCCACCATGGTAGGTTGATAATGAAGATGTGGCTTTTCCTTGCAGTCATCACGCCCACCTGTCCTTCCACGAGGACAGGCCATTTTTCTTCAACCACGATCGGCACCGGAGGACTTTCCCACTCATCGGGTGATCGGGCCGTGTCTTCACCAGCCTGCCATAAGCGAGGTCAGGGAGCTTTCTCTTCGGCCACGACCAGGAACCGGAGCTCCTGCTCAACGGGTGATCGCGCCCCTACTTCACCCGCCTGCCATTAGCGAGGCCAGGAAACTTTCTCTTCGGCCACGATCAGGAACCGGAGCCCCTGCTCAACGGGTGATCGCGCCATGACTTCCGCCTGCTTGCGATGCGAAGACAGGGCTTCTTCTTCAACCACGACCGGCACCGGAGCTCCTGCTCAACGGGTGATCGGGCCGTGTCTTCACCAGCCTGCCATAAGCGAGGTCAGGAAACTTTCTCTTCGGTCACGACCAAGAGCCGGAGCTCCTGCTCAACGGGTGATCGCGCCATGTGTTCCGCCTGCCATATATGATCACAGGGCTTCTTCTTCGGCCACGATCAGGGACCGGAGCTCCTGCTCAACGGGTGATCGCGCCCCGATTCACCCGCCTGTCCTGCGAGGACGAGCACTCTTTTATCACAGCAAAGTCCCGGGGCGAGTTCTTCCCCCAGTCAGCTGTGCTATGTCTTTAAGGCTGCCACCTTCAATGTCCTGTTCTATACATGCTCTTCACACATACATCACGCCCCTAGCAAACACAGCGCATCAGACACCCAACAAGCCGAGCAAGCAAGAGGAGGCGTGCAAATTACCCATAAAGAAAAGAAAGTAAAGTAGGTGCATGTGAACCCGGCATAATACGACATGACATGACATAACACGAGTAACTTGTTCCCAAAAGCGTCCGCAGTGTTACCAACCACCAAGTAGGCCCGCAGCGCCATCACACCGTCATGTCGACCAAAGAAGAAAAGAAATATAGAAATATAGATCACCAACCCGCAAAACAATCCACAAATGACACGAGATATGTGCCCTCCGGATGTTAAGTATATTAAATACACAATAAAAGAGGAGACAGGAATAACAATTCTGAACAATTCAAACGTTTCCAAACATGATTGCAGGAAAATTCCTAAAGGAAGGAAGGAAAAGAAGAGGAATGATACACTGACAGATGCCAGGAAAGCAGCCAAAATCAAGCTAAAACAAACTAAAAACAAACGATACAATGGTATCATATGTAAATGCAGATGATCACGCATCCTCGCAAGACATTATCCTTGTGAGCATTTGTGATGGAGCGACAGCTGTGTACCCAACATTAGAGCGATAACAAACGTAATTTATACTACGAGAAAGTGTGAACTATGTAAATTTGGCCGAATACAAAGAGTAGCATGTACAACGAAAAATGAAGCAGAATATAGCTAACATAACTATCATAAACCATCATAAGCTATCATAAACTATCATAACGCCCAAGATTATTATACCGCCAACCCATCAATCCATTAACCACTAGAATAGCAATTCAGTCTCAATTTCCAAACAAGCGACACAGCAGCATCATGTGAATGCTACCAAATCATACAAATTACATCCCCATCGTGACCCCATTTGTTTATCCATGAAGAACTCAGTACAGAAGTAATAATGAAACAATATCACGATAAAGAAGTTAAGACAATACTGTGTCAGTGCGACAACAGGGATGATTACATCAAACAATCAATTAGAACTTGAATTCCAGTCGAAATAAACCGCTCCCAGATTTTGTCAAAACTCAATTGAAATCCATCGCGCCCTGCAGTTAATAATAAATAAAATAAAATAAAATAAAATAAAATAATCACAGTTAAAGTTAAAGACCATTGGCAAAAGTGGCAACGAGCAACTGCAGCAGTGAGAGGGATAAAATTAGTTGTAGGAGTACAATAGTAAATACTAGAATGCACATGATAAACACACAAACTGCGTTGGGCTCCGCTGTATTGAGTAATAGGCAATATAAGCGATAAGTAACCGATAGTCCAACAAGAGCGTGAATAGAAAGTAAATAATCCTTTAGAGCGTAGACATCAATTTCTATCAAAATATAGTCACAAGCGTTACTGTGCTTGCTTACCTTAATCCACTAAACTATGTCCGCACAACATTATGCAGAAGAGAGTAAAGCGAATGTAAATTCATACATGTAATATGTATAAGATTGAACACAGCGTAATAATGACATATAATTATTTGGTAGCTCAATACAGCAGAAAGCTCCGCAGCTCACACACACCAGGAATTAATAAGTAAAACATATAATAATAATTTGGCAGTACAACAGGCATTCCTTACATCCTTGCATCTCTTTTATAAGCATCCTATTACAGCGCCTCCTGGCGGTAAAAAAGGAACTAAAGCTTGCCGAAATTTTGGCCCCCTAGCGGGAAAAATTTGAACTAAAATTTCAAAGTCGAACCAGCGCTCTCTAGCCGCAGAAAAAGGAACTAAAGCTTGCCGAAATTTTGGCCCTCTAGCGGGAAAAATTTGAACTAAAATTTTGAACGTTGAGCCAGCGCTCTCTGGCCGCAGAAGAGGGAAATAAAGCTTGCCGAAATTTTGGCTCCCTAGCAGGAAAAATTTGAACTAAAATTTCAACGTCGAATCAGCGTCCCCTGGTGGCGAAAAAAGGAACTAAAGCTTGTTTTTGTAAGAACAAAATGTTGAAAAAGTACATAGTATAAAAACGATTATTTTTGTATTCCTTACAATGGATGTTCTAAAAGCCGAAATACTAAAAAAACGAAAGCAGTTAGAAGAGAGCAATGTTTTGGTAATTTATAGATTAAGTTATAATATATAATATTTATTATAAGTTAACATTGTTTTAATTATACTATGTGAATATTCTAGAAAAACAACAAAAAATATTTTAGAAGGGGTGAATTAATATCAAAGGATCAAGAAGTGAAGGAAACCCAAAACAGTAATGATGAAGATGTTAAAGTTAACGTTAAGCAGCCGCACGAAGAGTGTGTAACAGATGATAGTTCTGAACATTTAACATTACCTAGACACGAAGTGATTAAAAGATTACGCGAAAGGAATGAACCTATATTACTGTTTGGAGAATCAGAGATAGAAGCATTTAAAAGGTTAAGAAAATGTGAAATTCTTGAACCTGAAGTAAACAAGGTATTTATTTATATTTTAAGACATAATTGAAAGGAATTTCAAGATTATGGTTTCCTTTTATAATACACAATTATTAATACTTTATTAATTATTAATACGTGTTGTTTTATACCAAAGGGTTTTAGAAATGACTTTCAAGAAGCTATGGAACAGGTAGATCAAGCATATCTCAATGAAATATTAACTTCATCAAAACCCCAAAGTCGTGATGGAAAAGGGGATGTACATGTACCGGATGAAGGAGTTACTTATGAAGATCTACAAAAGATGTCTTTCAAATTAAACAAGGGTGACAGGGATTTTGATTTGCATGTTATTACACAATTTATACAATTCTTAGTGCAAATGTGGGGCATCCAATTAAATAGTAGGAGCACTGCTGAAAAGATGAGCACCAGAGGAAAAATGGCTAGTGCTACATATGCTCAGACAAGAGAATACTTAAAACCTCTTCTTAGAAAATTAAAAAATAAGTCCTTACCTGAGGATATTACTGACAGTTTAACTGATATTGTTAAACATTTACTTGAACGTAATTACATACTGGTAAATACTTCTAATTTTATTGTAATGCATCTGAAATATCAAGTTTAGTACAATACACGTATTAAAAAATAATTATTACAGGCAAGTGATGCATATTTGCAAATGGCTATAGGGAATTCCCCATGGCCCATTGGTGTGACTATGGTTGGGATTCACGCACGTACTGGAAGAGAAAAAATCTTTTCTAAAAATGTCGCGCATGTAATGAATGATGAAACTCAAAGAAAGTACATTCAAGCTTTAAAAAGATTGATGACCAAATGTCAAGAATATTATCCTACAGATCCTTCTCGATGCGTAGAATATTCTAAAACATAATGCATTTAATTAAAATAAGTAGATAAGTATGCATTATAGAACATAAGGTATTAAAAATTTTTTAAACATAGAAGCATAGTATTTATTTTCTCCTATTGGTGTAGTTGTATTATATGATATGTACAAAGGAATTAAATATTTATTCAGATATCAATCTATTATAATTAAAAAGAAAAAACCATTTGTAAATTGAAGTGTGTTTTCTACTTAAATGCTATATTATTATTTCTTTGTACTGTTTGTGTTTTCAGATAAATACTAGTAAATTTTCAAATTAAATATACTTTAAGATATTTAAATACTTCAAAAAATACTCATATTACATTTAAAAAAATACATTTTACATAAACTTAATTATTTTTTATCCCCAGTTCTTCTATATATAAATATATATATATATGTATATATTTCTTGAATTTACTTTATTTTGGAAGTTAATTCATTGGCTCTATTTACTGCAGATTCAACTGCATTCATCATAGATGCTCTAAAAATATTATTAGTAATATTATTTAGCGTATTGACACACACAACATTTTGATGTCTCACCTTACTTGACCACATTCCATAGCATGAACTCCTGCAATAGTTGTACCTCCTGGAGAACATACCTCATCCTTTAATTGACCAGGATGTCTACCTGTTTCTAATACCATTTTACCAGCTCCTACTAATACTTGAGCTGCAAATTTTGTTGCCATGGGTCTTGGCACACCCATTTTTACAGCACCATCTGCTAATGATTCTATAACAAGATATGCCTAGAAATTTCATTTAATATCATACAATTGTTCTGAGCATTTAAGCGAGATGAAAAATAAATATATGATAAGAATTAAAATATTTTACTTACATAAGCAGGACCTGAACCTGAAAGTGCACCTATAGCATTCATAAGAGATTCAGGAACACTTTCAGCAACACCAATGTATGAAAATAATGCTTCTACTATATTTTCATCTTCTTCTGTTGTATTCATAGAACAATATACTGAAAATTATGAAAACATTGTAAAAATATTATTTTTATTATTTGCACATAAAAATATTTATCCACCTGTTATTCCTTCTGCAACCATCATTGGAGTGTTAGGCATACTTCTAATTATCCTAGGCTGTGTTACAATTAACTTCAGTTTCTAAAAACATTGCAATCATTTTAACGCTTTCTACATGCTTCTTTAGTTGTTAGTTACTCATAGTAATAATTCTTACATTATACAATGTGTCTAGAGTAACTCCTACAAGTACTGATATAAAAAGCATATTTGAAACTTTCTTTTTCATTGTTGTTTGTATACCCTTGAGTGCATCATCAAGCATATGTGGTTTCATGGCTAGGAATACGATATCACAGTTGTCTACTACTTCTCCATTTTTCAATGTGGCATGAGCACCTAAGTCAGCCCAGAACCCTAAGGTTCTATCTGTACGAGCCGAAACCCAAACATTGTCTGGATTTAAAATACCTACAATAAAAAATTTATTACATTAATTATTGATTTTATAATTTCTATAATATAATACATTCATATATACATTACCTTTATTAATTAAACCAGCACCTATGGCACTTGCCATATTTCCACCCCCAATAAAACCAACTTTTCTTGATGCCAAATCGGTTTTTTTCATATTTCTTGGATGTATAGTAATTAATAACAAATAAATATATGTTAACTATACACGTATATTTAAATATTGCGCATATATTACTAATTAGATATACTAATACCAGTGACTACACACGTAGAAGACTGGACACGCCTTTGTTTTCGCGGAGTCATGATTTAGGGGTCATGATTTAGGGGTCCCAGACACCCCGTTCCTGTTTTACCAATCACTGTTTTACAGCATCTCAAACCACCGACAACCGACAACCGACACTGGCGCTAAAGGGACTGGTAAAACAGGTGTAACTGTTTTACCGACTATCGGTAATCACCGCATGTTTCGGAAAATCGATCGGTAAATTATTGAGTAGTTTCAGCCACCTTTGTATAGATGGCGCTATGGTCGAAATTTAAACTACTTATAATAAACGATTTGATTTTGCAGTTAGATTGTAATAAGCTTTAATTTGCAAACCAATTTTTACTTAGCTATCTTATCGAGAAGCCAATTTTTACGAAGAAAAGCATCTAAATTGGTTTATTCGAGGTAAATGCGCCGCATATCGCAAGGATATAACATATTCCACTTAAAATTGAATGATAACTTCATCGATTACATATGTACACAAAAATCAATATCAGACAATATTTTTGTAGAAATAATTCAAACATTCACTAAATGCAGAACGCTGTCCCTGGTGATACCAATCTCCCTCAAGGTAGTTCCAAGTTGCTCTAATCTCTTCGGCGAATATCTAAAAAATAGACATGTTTGAAATAATGCAATAAAAGATAAAATTTCTCAATGATATTTTACCCGCTGAGAACAATTTTGTATCCTCGAGGAACAGTCCTGGTCATAGCTTTGTCCAATAACTGATAAAGTCGAGCTATGGGATCGTCAGCCGAAACATGGACTAAATAAACAGTGCCACCGTTCAGAGACCTGACTTTTAATCGAAGTTCACCACGTGCCCCAGTCGGTTCATTGATTTGATGCAAAATAGGGGCCTGAGAATACAGAAACGTTAGAAAATAAATCTGAAATGAAAAATCTTATCCCAACTCCCTTACAGCATTCTTTCGTACTGGTGTCGCGGATTTAGTTGGACGTGGATTTTTCTTCGCTACTATATTGTTCGCTTGAGAATTTGACATTTGAGATACGTTGCTGTTATTAGAATCAACTGGTTTTGTTTTCGGTGCAGGTTTAGAGTTGACGGATAATCTCGCGTTCGGTAGACTCGATGATCTTGATTTGTGCCGGAAACGATCGTCAGGTGTTTCACGATTTCGACTGGATAAAATTATTCCATGAATATCGAAAATGTTGAAATAAAATCGATACAGTCGGTGACCTTACTACCTAGGATCAAGATTCTATTTTACCTAGGTGACAGTCTAGACGATGACCTATCGGTAGAACTGTGATAACACCTGCCGGAACTCGGAAACCTCAACACACCTTTGGATTTAACACTTGTCTCACGTACGTAGACATCGAACTCGGTGTTTCTCGTTGCTGTGTCACGCTTTTGAAAAAGGAATTTCCAAGTCAATATGTCACAGGTGTGTTAAACAGATTTTGAAAGACACTCGAACAAGTTTACCTTCTCTTTCCGGTTACTACGACTTAGCTCAGCGTTTATATGAGACTGTAGATGAGTGTTGGAGCAGATATTGTTGTGAGAGGCTAAAATTTGCGAACGAAGAACGTACATCTCGAGAGGAGGAGAATCCGAGGATCCTTTCGACTTGTAGGATCTGTTGAAGATAAATATGGAAACGATCGTTGTAGTCTGATTATTGGAAATCGAAGATAATTTTACCTGACCGATAAAGGCGTCAAATGCGTTGATAGATCCATGTTCGAGACATTATGAGGTGACTTTTGGAAACTGGCACTGGGCCTACGGATTTTCGATGGTAACGATGGGTTATCAATTTGAAGTTGCTTACCCAATCGATAACCTTGACCGGGGAATTCTACATTATTCAAGTACATTTGATTTCTGTGATCCTCTACCTAATAAAGAAGCAATAATTAATATATGTAAACGTTAATAATTAATATATGTCATGTTCACCTTGAATGGAACACCGTTTGGATAAGCTTCTTGCAACTCCGAAGGAAAATAACCATCCAAGATGTCACGAAGAAACGACATCGTCGCCTGGTCATTGTAGGGACGTAACGATCCGTCTTGAATTATCATTCCATTTTTGTAGAATTTTAAACACATGCAAGAAGGAGTCTTCAAGCAATTATTAAACAACACTCGATTAGTTGATCGTCGATGAAACGCATAACTAACGTTGAAATAATATATAAGTACGCGATCATTAAGTTAATCGTGTCATCGATAAGGAAAGAAAAACAAATATTAGCAAATTGTCACTCGTTTAGTTTGAATGTGTTTGAATGTAGAATGTCACAACCTATGCGCTTGTAATTTACATTCATTCACCTAACCGGTTTGCTTGATTTATGTCAGCCTTCTGTGGTTCATTCGAATGTATTTGGGTCAAAGTATCGATGTCGAAAATTTATTTAATTGACAGAATAACAAGATAATGGTAGAACAATGATACACGAAATTATATTGCAAAAGAATTCGAGGTTTGAAGTTCAAAAGCTGAAAGTATAACAATTAAGTACCGTGCGTCGCCGACCTTCCGGACGGATTCTTGGTATCTATTCTTATGGATCATGATACCAAGAAGACCCAGAAGGCTAAGGAAAAAGTTTCCAAGTGGCAATTCTATCTATCTTTCTAATGGTACCGAAGGCCAAAAATCTAAGTCCCCCTCGAGACAAGGATACCGGGAGCCTAAGTTCCGTACGTCCCCGACTCTCCGGACGGAAACTCGGTATAAAATCTTTCCGAGTCCCTAATACGCTAGTTTCTCACGAAACGTAATGAAATACGATTTACTTTGAACGTTGCTCCGTTTCCTTTCTCGTTGTGCTGCACGTGAACTTCGCCCTTACCGGCAGCCAGATTCAGCTGATCGATGTTAGCGATAACCTGGTCGTAACATGCCTCGATGGGATTACTGAAACGCATCGACAACTGATAATTAATTCGATCTGGATGCTGGCATCTTTAAATAGCAACGTATACTCGATTTACTTGGGAATCGTATCAGTACACCTCGGGCTGTTCGTGTCGCCCACCCAGATCAGACCGTAGTCGGCCAAGAATTTCTGTGAAATCAATCTTCATGGTAATTTTGATGGCAATTAAAATAATAGACCGCCCAACCCTGTACCAACCAACCTCCATCTCGAATATTTTCCGTTCGAGGATCAAACATCGTTCGTAAAGTTGCTCGGAATGATCGGTTTGTATTTGACGTTGCTGTTGTTCCTTCTTTCGTAACATCTCCATGTTCTTGCTTTTATTTTCCCACTCTTTCACCTATGATCAAAGAGTAAAACGTTATCGAAAGGGAAGAAGCAACGATTGGCCAACGAAAACACAGTGGAGAACCTTCCGTTTCAAACGAATGATCTCTTGATCCTTTAACTTCGACTGTTCCTCGTTCTTCCTCAGGTTCGTTTGTACCTTTTGCAACTGAGTCTCTACCACGCATAGTTGTTTCGTCAGGGCACCGATCAACTCGCTTTCTGTTACATTTAAAAGGCATCAACCCTTTGGATTATTTTATATTTCATTTTAATTCGATTCTAATTTTTCTAATTTCTAAGCCCCTGCAAGGCTACTTTGGCGGAAGATTGCAAGTTTCAAGTTCTAATGCCCGCACCCTAAATACCGTGCGTCCATGAAGTTTCTAACGTCGCATTAACGACAGATTCTTGCGGATCAGGATAAAATTGCTCGAGTAATTGTCGAGCGACGATTACCGCGGACGATACTCAAATGCATCCAATTAATCCGGCACGAAACGTGTGATTAGATCGAAGGAAAATGATACGAGTACACGCAACCGGTTCCATATAATCTTGTTACGTTTTTCATTTTCTTGCTTGTATATCTGGATAATCACGTACCTTCTTGAATGACCGCGTTATCTGGCACGTAGAAACTCGTCGGTTTAGCGTTGCAGTTCCAAAATTTTCTACCACCGTTGAATGTACTGATAGAGGTTGTCTTATCGATCCTTCTTTGAATACGAGTCACATCTCTTCTGGATTCTGACAGCGGGATATTGGTATTTTCATACGAGGTATTTCTAATATCATCTAATTCCTCTTCGTTATCCACTAGGTAAGTCGAGGTCGAAGAAATCCTTTTCAATCTGGATCAGAAATATTAGCAAGAATCAAAATTTCAATGTTAATAACCTTAGGTGAGATGAATTCGCGAATTACAGCTATCGGAGGTCCATTGAGTTCGCGGAGAACGCGTTGAGATAATTTACAATTCGTCAAAGTTGATTTGTACGATTAGAACTAAAAGATACTTGTGGTTGCTGTTGTGATTCGGGGTTGAAGTTGAAGAGCATTTTGTCAATTTCTTCCGTGATGACGCGGAACGGTTCGATTGGCTCATCGTGCGACGGCGGCATTTATCAGCGAGTTGGCTAGCATTTACATTGAAAATTTATGCTAGATTTTTCCGAAAGTGTTCCGGTTGTCGTGCAATTCGAAACGCACGAGGCGAACGGAAGTGATCGAATGTGAACTCCGCGGTTGATGGCGGTCCGTGGTCGAACGAACCATCAATGCGAAGTTGCTGTCAACCATGAAATGTAACATTCATATGGAGCGACATACTTTCAGCTGGATTTGTTTAAAAAAGAAAAATTTCTGCTACGTTAACCGACCTTGCACGAGAATCTTAATTAACGCTAATGGTAACAGTTTACGTCGCACGGAATCCTGAGAATCTCTATTGTTATGATAATGTTAATTGAAAAACTACAGAATTCACGGTTTCGCAACGATGACTGGACGATAAATTTGAAATAGTTCGAAGCAGTGAAAGTAGAGACCTTCGAGCACGCTTTGACCCATTTCAAGTGGGTGCACAATGAATCATGCATCGTTTTGCAAAATTGCATTATAAATTTTAATGACCTCTATAATCTATGGATGGTATCAAATTTAATTAGAAACATTGATTTCATTATATTTCATGATTATTTTTTTCAGGATATCCGTCAGACGATGATATAACCGGAAAGATAAAAACACTTCCTGATTGTACCGCTTATTACGAAACAGAGGTGTATAGTTTTCTTAAACCTAGACTTTACATGCTATTCTATCATAATACTATAACAAAGAAAATATTTTAGTATTAAATAGTACTGGAATTAAAGTATACTTATTTTGGGTCACAAGATATTTTATTATAAGGAAAGGTATAAATTGCCTAAAATAAAAATTGTACTTTCATGTATACACGTGTCCTTATGAATCAATATACGAGTTGATGGTTGTTAAAGGTTTAACAGGGCTATAACGACGTCCATTTTCCTTCAGACACGTTTATCAACCCACGCACGACCTTTGGTAAAAGATCGATGAATGACGTTCAAAGATTCGATTCCCAGCAGCGAGGAGAACGATGCTGTCGCGACGCCGCGTCACGACGCACGAGGCATCGATCGACGCCTGGGTGTGTGTTAGTGAATGCGTCACGTGACCGCTGCGCCTCGGAGTGGCGAACGCAGGGGAACCTCCTCGACAACGCCGTGGCACACGTTCGCTCTTCCCGGAGCTGTTACAACCGCGTATTTCTCGTGTCGTTCATCGGTAACAGTGAATATTTAGTATCCACGAGTTCCCCTAACCGGTGCGAATAATGACGATGAACGCATGAAGCGTGGTGAAACGCGTGCCTGGCAAAATGCGAGCCGAAAGGAGAGCCGTCGAACGTCGGGAGATCTTCGTCAGAAGGAAAGACGGGCCGAAGGTGAGTTAATAAAATCGATCGTTTTCAAGCCTCTGCCCTTTCCTATTAACGGTCACGGCCACTGCCACGTGGTTTCTGCGAATTGGTAAGCTAGTTCCTGTCAGACATAACCTCAATCCTAAGACGCGGCGTTGAGGTTAGAAGATACATTACACGAAATAGTTGCTTTTGTTCGTGTCCAATAGTGTATATCGTGAAACTTATTGAAAATATGGTGTTTCTGAAAGATTTCGAGGTATATGGGATGATGTAACAATTAGTATGGTCGTTGATATCGTCCGTTCGTTAATCTCCGTTGCCGGTACAGTGGCGTGTTTCTCCCCTTAGGGGCGGCAGTGACGTAAGAAGCGAAGAAGGCTTCACTACTTTTCTTTACATTTTGAACACAAGTATAACATTTTACATTATTATTTTCTATTTTAATTGAAAATTAATAATCCTATATATAGCGATATACAGCCTCAGAAGCTATAAAACATAAATCTTTTAAATTTGTTTCCTTTCAGTTGTCTGTTTACAAACTCGATGAGAGAATGCTAAATTTAAAATTTTTGGGGGGAGGGGGTACCGAAGCCGCTATAGTTTGAAGAAGGGTTGCTCCCCTGAAGAAATTATTTCCTGTAGTATCGTATAAGAATCAAGAAGAATTTGAAATATTCCGAAATATTCCTTTATAAGTTGTCGAACCTGTATATTTTCAAGAAACGAAGAATAAAAGAATGGAAGGCAGTCCATAGTGTCACGGGGGCTGATCACATGTCTAGTCTCGTGCTGTTATCCGCAAGAATTCCATCGAGCGAATCACTCGGCCTCGCCGCTTGATAGGGTCAAATACGAAATAATTAAGCTTAATGCAACCGACAGCGAAATTCAGAGGACGCGAATTTCTTCCGCTTCACGTGACGTTTTTGTAAACGAGAAGAACATGTTTTGTCATTGCGATTGACACAGTTGATAACTTTTCATTCTTCCTTTTCTTTTTTTTATTTCAAATGAACTTGTACTTTATTATCTGTACGTAAAAAATACCACGTTTCTTTTTATATCGATGATAATTAACGTTGCGAAACACCGGAGTTTATGTAAAAGCGATCAAACATTTAAGTAAAACGTTGAACGACCAAGACACCTGTTGTACCCGGCGTGGAAAATACTCTTTAAGGTATGCACCCATCGATCGATGAAAATTGACCCGTTGAGCCTCTACGCGGCGACCTTGCAATTTTATAAACGATAACACGAGTCAAAGAAGGTATAATGGATGAAAAACGTCCAAGTTGACGGAATTTCTGCTGATGTAGCTGAATATCGCAAACCCGTTAATAAATATGAAGATTGAGTCATTCACCTTTCTTATTCTGTGTCGTATTCTAGATAGCAGAGCTTATTTAAAAAATAGAAATAAGTAAATAAAATAATTGGAAATTAAATACACATTGTTTTTTTCATTTTGATCCCGATTTGTGAATTTTGAAACAAAGAAACAACATGAATCATGGAATATAGAGTTTCTCGGTATTATTTCAGAATTTTCCTGTTATGAGAGGTTTGTCTGCATTTCTCATGATTAATAACGGCTTAAATCAACATCGGAATTAATTCAAAACACGTTGACATGATCAGAATCATACAATAAACACAAGTGTTCGATGCAATTGAAACCACAGAAATTGTAGCGCGTGTGCGTACTGTGCAAAAAAAAAAAGAAAATTCAAACAGTAACATGTGACTCACTTACCAATGATGTATTACAATGAAAAGTAATAAGCAGCCATGGGAATCGTTAAACAAGGTATCAGATTCCAATTAATATCCATTAGCCAGTGTCATTTCTTGTATACCCTTGTTTATTCGATCATGTTGACGTGTAATGGAAGAAAATGTTCTCCTTAAGCGCTCTAGGGTTCCCTAGGCGCTCTAAGGATCCCTAGGCGCTCTAAGGATCCCTAGGGGCTCTAAGGATCCCTAGGCGCTCTAAGGCTTTCCTAGGGCTCGCTTAAGGCTACGGTGAGTTATAGGTGGGTGAAAATTCGAAATTTGGCAATTTGAAAATTTGAGTATTTGAAAATCTGGAAATTGGAAACTTGGAAATTTGGCAATTTGGAGACAGAAATTTGCAAATTTGTAAATTCCAAAATTCATATAGGTTTCTTTGGCTAAGGGTAAAAGTAAAGGGAGGACCCTTCCACCACTTATCTTCAATTTCGAAAAAAAACCCAGAAGGAACCCACGTAGAACCCAAAAAGAATCTACCATACACTATTCTAAACTAAAGATATCTATATTGCGGCCAAATGTCCGTCGACGTTACGTGTCACCCAAAGGTATCTAAACAGCCTCGTCATCGTCACGTTTCCTCGTTTCGCGACGTGTCCACGATCCTCGTGAATTGTTTCCTACCCGGCAAACGAGCGATTGAAAAGCAAAAGCACCGGTGGTGGGGTGTGCGAGATAGTCAATGCCTCGTGGTCCGGTCGCCTTTCAGTGTCGGCCGTTCTCCTCGTCCGGGATGTCGTTTTGTCTTTTTCCGGTCTGTTGCATTCGTTGCTTCCACAATTCTTCGGCACCGATCGTCGAACAGTGATCAATAAATTTATCGGAGACACTCGACTCGTGGCACGAGTCTCTCATCCAAACTTTTCACATAGAATTTCAATTATAAATCAGCGAACAGAAATTCGATTTTATTTTTACACAAGTGCACTGAGAACACATTACATCGCCATCGTTTTTAATAATTCAGTGACTCCGCGTTTATTCACGTGTGAACGTCACGGAGATTGAAAATATTTGTCGAAGGAACGTGTATAAAGAAAGGTGTTCCTCGAGTATCGAACTCGTTAATTGTCTGCACGGTACCAATTCACTTGTCATAACGTTCTCTAATATTACATACTTAAATGTGATGTAAACACTGTTAGTGTGCTCGGGAGAGAGAGAGAGAGAGACAGTTTCGAATCGATAACGCCACGTGCTTCCTTGCTGTAAGTAATCTGTATTTTTTTGTAATATTATTTACAATTAACGAACGGAGCATAAAACGATAAGACGATTAGGCTCGTTCCCCTAATTTCTGTTTCACTCATTTCAGTTTTATTTCGCTGAGAAAGCAAAACGTATTACGAGCAGTCAGCAATATTAACGTTCCTAATGGTTTATTATTTATCACGTACATATTTTCTTTGCGGTATCATCGATTTAGTCCGCTTACAGTCGATGGTAATCGCAAACTTTACCATCAATTACGATCGATTGTAAGAATGGCAACGTGTGTTTTTTAATTCCGTGTAATGTCACTGTTGTAACACCGATGAAAAAAATATCAGCTCACCACGAGTATACGCTTGGATGATAAATTGATGTTTATAGAAATGAATGAAAAAACACTCGATGAACATAAGTAATGAAATTGTGAAAGACAAAAGTGTTTTCACAATTTGGCATAATTTTTCAACGATTATTAATGCTTGTAGAGAAATATTTTTCAAGTTGGACGCTACGAAATTAATGTAAATCATGATGAATCATGTTGCATACGATTCTACTTAATGTCAGAGAATTTGAATCGCGCAATATTAACGCGTTCGCCCGCTCAGTGGAAACGGAAATCTGTAGTCAGACACGTTGGGCTTTTAATTGTGGATACGAATAAGTAATTTTCAAATGCAAGCTTTCAATTTTTTGTTTTATAGTATTAGTACAATTTCTTTTTTTTTCATTATTATTATTATTTGCTTATATTAAATTGGAAGCGTTTGTTAGCGACGACTATGGTCGTCGACCATATGTTGTTAAACAATCGACCTAGAGTAATTATAAAAGCAGTACGGTCGATCCGATCGATAATCAACGCTTCGTAGCCGAGTTAACGCATTAACACTTGAAGAAACTTCGTTTCATTTAATAACCAGACGTACGATTCTTTCATTTTTCTTAGAGGTAATGCTCCAAGCATACATCGCACTAATAAAACAAAAGATACGACTCCCTAATCCATTTCTGTTAAATCATGTAAATTATTTTTGTAATCGAATTTAATATGATCGAATAAGTGGAGGGAAAAAAGATGAAAATTAAAAGTAAGGTACAGCGAATCTTATCAGAGAATTCTTTTTTTAATTTGCTAATTGTTGACATGTTAAATAGAGATGGTAGATGATAATTTCTGATTGATTTATCAAAATAATTAAAAAATTATCATTTAGTAAGATAATGGTACATTTATCAGTAATAAGAAAGAAAGCGTTCTCATATCCAAGTAAAATATCACCCTTGGTAATATGTTAAATATAATTAGGTAGTAACGATGAATTTCTATCGAGTGTATTTGATTATGTAATTATGAATCGGAATTGAATGGAACATGGCTTATTCAGATAACAGAAGTGTGTCATTAAGGCACGTGTCGTTAATCGTAACTTACGATTAGAACGGGAAAAGTCATCCCGATTTTAATTCATCAACTTGCGTACTTCCGATAGGATATTTGCATAATGGCTTCTCGATACCCGTCTGCTATCCATTAACGCGATTAATGAGTTTAGTAAGAAAAAAGAGCTAAGTGTCCTGAAGCCCCGAAGGACGGAGTCGGGTTAATCGTGACTCGATTAAAATTATTAGAAAAACGATATCTGGAATGAAATTAAATTTAAGGATTCACTTTGTATAAAAATTGGAAATTTAAAGTTTTGTGAGGTATAATTTTTATTTTTTTTAAACACCTTGTGTAACCGTCACGAGTGCATTTGCAGACACATTGGGATGAATCATATTCAGAAATCGATCAGCTCTAGAGTGCAGATACACTTCCTGTGTGATATTCATTTTATCGCCGCCATGTTAGACGTGATAGAACAAAAAGTTGGTTGCAAGTTATCTATTCATTCATTTATAAATGTAACATGCTTTAGGACTTTCACACAGAGCTCTTCATTTTTTTCAACTGTTGAATAATGAAAATGCAATGCAATGAAAGATCCAAGTTCTGCTTTATAAATTGCGAAATGACATAAAAGAATCCATGGTGTTTAATTTATGTAATTAACGAGGAAATAATCGAGATAATCTCATTAACAACAAAGCAACAGGTATCCATATTTCTTCTAATCACTGTTTCAATTAAAATTCTCTTTACCCCGCCGAACGTAACACAATTCTTCGTTGGTCATTTCCTCCGCAGAACTCGAGGTCTCGTTCAAAGAATAATTTCTTCCTCTTTGTTTTGTTTTTTCGCGAACTAGCAACCTTCCGTTCGAACTGATGAATTTTCAAATTGCGTTCGTGGAATACCATCGCATATGAGTTGCGTGTCGGAATTTCATCGCGCCCTCGCAAACCATCCGCGTGCTATTAAATTCTGAGCATTTCTTCGTTTGCTTCAATCGATATGCTTGCTCTAATAAAACCTAGCGCGAAACTCGAACGAGTTTCGTAAAAGGGAACGCAGGCTGGCGCGTGACAAAATCGAGACACCGTTTATCAAAATACGCCTCTTTGTGCGCCATTTGTTGCATTTCCAGTTCGCTCGTTTTATTTTGCATTTGAAATCAGCAATAAAACCATGATACCATTTTCAACAACTATAGTTTTGATAGCACATTGAACAGTACAAGAATTTCGTTCCGAACCATTGCTTCACGTAATTAACAACCAGTCATTTTGTATCGAAAATATCAACGAAGCGTTTACATAGTAATTTTCTTCAGACTTTAAGCTTTACATTGATATACCATAAGTGCCATTTCATGTTACTTTTATGTCATGAAATTATATCAGACTTTCGTCATTGCTCGTACGATATGCAACAACCTGATATTAGTTTAGAGTAAGATAACGTTCGCCACTGTTGAACCTTGAAGAAGCAAAAAGCGAAGTTAATTAGGGCCAGTAACTCTCATCACAGTCTATGCCTGACTATTTGATGGAAAATGTTGGCGCGGTTTAATTGATTACCGCGAACGAAACAAAGGTCTCGAGGAAGTTACATAAAAATCTGTTGAGTATTGCGTGAAATTACGCCATCGTCATTGCGATCAATTTTTGAAGAATTTAAAGTTAAATGAACAAAAAGTATCCTGGATCTACGAGATTGCACAGTTACACGCGATAGTCAGCGATTCTGTTAATAAAACGACGTGCAACACGTAGATAGGACGAAGCTGATGGATAAATCACCGGTTCAACTGCGGCTTAATGTTCTTCATTAATTTTAATTAACGTGCCGACGCGATTTATGATAGCATCATTTTACGTTTGTAATTCTGTATCTTTGATGATTTTTTTCAGAGTCTCAGGTGATCTTTCTTCCTTTTCATTGGAACGGTAACATTCAATCAAGATGCAGGACTCGCAGAGGTAAGGAAATAATTTTGAAAATTTAGCTTAATTATAATTATGCAGATTAATTAAATAATAGAATATAGAAAAGAAGCTTTCGAGTAAGAAGAATTAATATAAGTAATTGTATCTAATTTGTTTTCTCTATTTTTTCTTCTCTCTTTTTTTTTTTTTTTAATAATTCTATTGATTCCTTGCTTATATAAAAACATCGATTGTATCTCTTACGCAGATACGAAGAACATACCATATATAAGACAGGATCGCCCTGCAGCCTGCGAAAACTTCGAGGTAAAGGAACTCTTCAGACTATCAAATCAAGATACAATAATAAAATTTAGAGATAGACGATCGATATTAATTAGAACGAAGTAGCTATAAATTTATATAGGAAAGCAAAAAATTATTTCGATATTTATAACGACACCAGGCGGATGATAGAGCGCGTTCTCGTTTCCAGACATGGTACCGGCCAGGGTGGTACTCTACATGTTGTCGTTCTCGGGGTTCACTGTCTCCTTCATGATGAGGAACGACATCAACATCGCCATGGTAGCGATGGTGAAACCGCCGTCCACGAAATCGGACACCAACGACGCGATGACATCTCATCATTGTTATGTAACGCCGAATGTATCGTTCGTCAACAATACCACCACGCCGATCAGACTTGAGGTAGAGTTGTTACGAATCCGAGAAATTATCTAATGGAATCGTCTGTCTTTTGAAATTTAATCCATGGGGGGGATGGTGATTAATTACGAAAGAAGGGTTGCAGACTGGGCGAATGAAATAAACGAAAATTAATCAAGTAATCGGAGGAATCTTCTAATCTCAGTAATTTTGGAATTCTGTGATTTTCAAAGAAATCAATCCGATAAACATCGCGATTGCGTTACACAGGTCGCATCGATTACGGGCAGACGTAATCGGAGGCCAAGAATCTCGTAACCAGTGTGGAAACAATGCTTATTATCGATGGAATTTAATAATTAGCGTCTTTATGATAGTCGTCTTATACTAACGGAACGATTAAAGTAACGATCACGTTACAATTTGATAATTGCACGTTATCGCGACGATAATGTATGCACGTTGTTATACAACGTGCTTGTTTAAAAATCCATCGATCCTTATTTCTATGCACGACAAACGTCAACTCTTTTAAACTCTTCGGTAAAGAAAAAAGAGATCGAGGGAACGACAGGATAATTTCTAGCTTTTGCACGAGGTGTTTCGTAAGAGAACGTCAGATATCGTTTCATAATTCCTTTGCTGAAGTTTTAATCGGCTAATGTAATTTAATATATTTCATACCGTGTCAAATTGAAGTTTGGAAAAATAGGAAAGGAAGATGTGGTTTATTTTTTCGTACAGGATCAAGGAGAGTTCGATTGGAGTCCAACAATTCAATCAGCCATTAGTGGTTCCTTCTACTGGTGCTACATATTGTCACAAGTGGTCGGTGGTGTTTTGACACAATATTTCGGCACGAAGACGGTATTCGGTGGGTCACAGCTGATCACAGCAGTCTGCAGCTTGCTGATGCCTTCTGCAGCTGGCATCCATTATGGTTTCATGATTGCTTTGCGCAGTATACAAGGCATTGCCAGTGTAAGTCTAAAGAAGCATATCTAATTTTTTAAACGTCACTGATAATTAGTAACATTACTATGTTCAATTTTACAATTACGACTATCGACGTACAACTGTGTACTTGTTCGTTTCAGAAAGCTATCACTCCTTTCTGTTGCATTCATTAACGAACGTGTTTATTACTAGTTCTTCGAGTAATAAATAATTCAATAGCGGATTTCGAACGTCTTATTTTCGCAGTCTTTCGAAATCCTGATAAATATATCGACACGTGGTAGTTTCAATTATAATTAGTATAACCAGTTTAGGAAAATTAAGTAAAATGATGTAAATAAAAGGTAATGTGTTTAGGGACTCACGTGGCCGGCGATGTACGCCATCGTTGGGCATTGGATACCACCGGTGGAACGTTCGCGTTTCATGTCTTCCTTTCAAGGTGAGTGTCTGATCGTTAAAGATGAATGTCATTTTTCTATATTACAGTGAATCATACGAAAGCAGGAATAACGCGAGATTCTTCAACAAAGGACGATTGTTAAACCGCACGATTTTTTCAGAGACGGAAGTTTGCTTTGCGAGTTTTGCGAACAAGTTTCGTCTGAATTCACGAGCTTCTAACGTCGACGATATAATTCCGTGATGATCTCCTCTGTTTTTCTTTTCGTTTTTTTTTTTTTTTTTTTCATTCATTCAATTTTGATTGTTCGAAGATATCCACGTGGTAGCATTCGCCGGACCGAGGGGTATACTCAACAAGCGACCGCTCAACAGCATGAGAAAGGCCGAGTATACTTCCAGCTGGTTGAATCGAGTCGAACTCGACGGAACGCACGTTTTCTATTGTAGACGACCGCCGTTTTGAGGTTTAAACACCTTTAGGAAAATTGGGCAACTGGGTTACTATGAAAATTTTGAGAATCTATATTTAACAGATCACCCTTCAGCATAAACCACAAGTTGGTCCCATTTCTCAAAAATTTCAGAGTAGCCTAAAGTATTCCTCTGCTGCTTGGAAAACTGAATTCTTTCGCAACGATTAAAACAACGATCCTCTGCATTCGCAATGAATCTGTGTTTATAATAATGTAATTCAATAATCCGTTTCTACTGACAAGGAGAACTACCCAAGTGTTACACTCACTTATTGATGAAACTTTGCCAGCTTGTAGAGCTCGTCTAGCTGAACACGCCTATACCCCCTTTTGGGGGTAGACGGCTAATTGTTTAAAAGATATTAACAATTACAGTTAGTTACTCCTTACATTCTGAAGTATGACAAACTCACACCTACAATTCGCAATCTAGAGATTCACGGTTCAAATCCTTGGTTCCCAACATTTTTATTTTTCAATGATAATTTGTCTCTTTTTCAATAACTATTACATAAAAATTATTATTATAAAAAAAAAAAAAAAAGGAACTCAGGATTTGAACCGAGGACCTTTAGATTACGAGTCATTTGTTTAACCATGGAGCAGATCCGTAACTTGCAAGCTAAAGGTCCTCGGTTCAAATCCTTGGTTCCCAAAAAATTTTTTTTTTTAATGATAATTTTTATGTAATAGTTATTCAAAAAGAGACAAATTATCATTAAAAAGAAAAAAAAAATGTTGGGAATCAAGGATTTGAACCGTGGATCTCTAGATTACGAATTGTATGTGTGAGTCTGTCATGCTTCTCAATGTAAGTAGTAACTAACTTTAATTATTAATATCTTTTAAACAATTAGTCGTCTGTCCACAAAACGGGGTATAGGCGTGTTCAGCTCGACGAGCTCTACAAGCTGGCAAAGTTTCATTAATAAGTGAGTGTAACACTTGGGTAGTTCCCCTTGTGAGACTTCTCCAAATAATGAATCACTATACGATACGCGTTTTTCCGTTTCATTTCTTTTCTTCTTTTCATTGCGTGGGCTTAACCTTGGCGCGTGTAATGTTATCCTGCGTCTCTTTATTGTCGATGATACGAAACATTCGTGGAATTACCTCTTTTATTCTGCTGATGTTACATGTTGTCATCATTGGGTCGTTTCTTGTTTCACCACCGATGTTTCGACGTGGTCGAAGATTCGTGTGGTTCTCCATGAAACGGTGTACCATAGTTGCTAGCGAAGGCCGAATTTGTAAATTAATAAAAAATTAACAGAAGGGTTGAAATTTGCTGGAAAAAATTTCAGTAGAAAATTGATTTCAAATTCTGCCTTGTGAAATATTTTCAGGTTTATAGAAAAAAAAAAAAAGTATCATTGTTCCACGTAGCTGCCTCGCCACGTGTTCATCCTCATCCCCTCGTACTAAGTCTCTACTTGAATCGCTTTACAGGGTGAAATAAACGCCACCGCTGAAGAGCGATCGTCGCCACGCATGAATCGTACACGAGCCAAGGCGAAGCCCCATTCGAGCAAGCATCATGTTTCAGCTTCGTTCCGGGTCGTGGGGTGAGCCACTCCTAACGCCTAGATTATCTATATTCAGGGTTCAGCTTTGGGATCGGGATAACCTATCCATTGTGCGGATTCATCATCGCCCATTTCGGTTGGAGAGCGGTCTTCTATACGACCGGCAGCATCGGTATGTTCTGGTGCCTTTTCTGGTATTTCTTCGCCTTCGACACGCCTGCCAGCCATCCAAGAATATCTCAACAGGAGTTACGGTACATTCAAGGAAGCGTTGGAAATCAAGTTCACGGAACGACCGAGGTAATTTTCTCAAATTTTTGTTAGACGATCAAATTCAGAGTTTGATCGCGTTAGGTTCACTCAAGGATGTTAATGACATAACTTGGTTTATCTCATCTGCACCTTTCATTGGTGTATCGATCCGATTCTATTTTTAGACTCGTTAACTAGACGTTTTATTATCATTAATATATGGTTTAATTATCTAACGTCATAGACGTTAGACCCTTCGAAATCAGGTCATTCACCCCTATTGATACTCTGCAGTGAATGGAACTTTTTTACTTTGCCTACTTTACCTTGATCCAAGTGGAATTGTTCTTTTATCTCGAAGGGTCTGCCAGTTCCATGGGGTTCCATTCTGAGATCTTGGCCAGCATGGTCGATCGGTATCACCACTTTCGGAAGGATATGGGTTCACTATATTTTCATCATTTCCGGACCAATGTACATGAAGACAGTTCTAGGGTTCAGTATTCAAGCGGTACGTGATCGAAAGATTTTTATGATCTACTTGTATCCTCACGAAATTATCCATTTTCCAGAATGGAGTTCTTTCCGGTTTACCGTTCATCTGTAGCTACTTCAGCTCCGTAGCCTTCTGCTACGTAGCCGATGTCCTTGTAACGAGGCAGATTTTGTCACTGACAAACGTCCGCAAGGTGTTCACCGCTCTTTGTAAGTGGCTTTCATGAAAAATTACATTATCTAATTCCTATTCGAGATACGTTTGAATATTTTTCTTTATAGCACAAGTAGTTCCTGGAATAATGTTAGTGTTGATCGGCTATCTGGGCTGCGACATCGTCCTGGTTTTGGTGGTATGGTTCATAGCCGTCACCCTAATCACTGCTGCTTACGCAGGGGCGATGGCAAACATCGTTGATATAGCGCCAAATTTTGCTGGTAAGTGGTTGCTCAAATATTGATACTATCCGCGTCGTTCTTTCCGGAAGTATCTACAGGATTTATTTGATTTACCGATGTGTTCAGGCCCGATATTGGCGTTTGCGCAAACCATTCACATGTCCGCCAGTTTTCTGTCTCCGGTGGTAGCTGGTCTACTCACTCAGAAGAGTGTAAGTAAAAATTGAATTATTCTTCAAAGAATTTTCAATATTTTCATAATTGAATTCGAGATTCTCAGGCTCATCGTTCCACATAGGATAGTAATAAAAATAACTCTAAGAAAAATTGATTTTATAGCAAGCACTCGACGCGTGGAGACAGGTATTCGGAGTCACTGCTTGCGTCGCGTGCGCCACCTACGTTGTATACCAGATCTTTGGTACGGCGGACATCCAAGCGTGGAATTATCCGGACCAAAAGTATCCGCAATCGGTTCAAGAAGATTCGCAGCCTTTGAACGAGTCTCCTCAGAAGAACGGAAAGATCGTCAAGTCTCGGTCGAACGTGTCCGAGGAAGCGTAACACGATCGTTGTTCGTCCCTGATAAGAAAGAAGAGTATAAAGTATACTCTTGTCACAGACGATTACAAACACTTCTCCTTTTAATCTCGCAAAGAGACGATCAACCTTAAGATATAATATTTATTATATATACACACACGCGCGAGAAAAGTCTATTTTTTTCGTAATATCTCTGTATGTATGTGGATAGAAATCGGTAGTTCGTCCGTGGGAGAAGTGATAGTCAGGGTAATGTACATTGTAAAGTTTATAGGATATTTTTATGAGAATTCTCGAATTAACGCGTTTCAAAATCTTTCTTTTTTTTTTTTTATTAACACCTTACTTACCGTTTAATAGTAACCGAAGATCAAAAGGAGTAACTCTGAGTTTGAATTTTTTCAGCATTGTAAGATAATTAATTTTTATTATTCTAATTGAGTTTCAGGTGATTTATTAATTGTTTTTCAGTCAACAACCAATAGTATTGAAACGTTTGTTAATAGACTTCCGGTAAGTAAAGTGTTAAGGTCTTGTTTCGAAGCGAAATGCACAAAAAGTTTATACGCAATGTTAATTAACATTTTTCTCGATTCAAAGCGACCCTTTGCTCGCGTATTATTTTCTGTGATTAAATCCTTTTTTTAATAAGATCTTGATCGTTAATGAGCGCGAAAAAGAGGAATGAACCTCGTAGAAGCGCCAAGGGAACAGTTTCCAAATTCTGAATATTGAAATGTTTGACTAAAATGTTTGGATACTGTTGCCTTCTACGTTCTTACGAATACTTCTCTGTGTAAATTACAATTACCACTTGATTGTAGAATTTCTCTTTCTCTCTGTTAAGAAGTGTTTGTTCTACGTAACTCTTAATCAAGAGATGACGACACGTATTTATATGTTTGCCAGTGATATTTTCTCAATGCCCTGTTAGAATACGTGGTGTAAAAAGGAGTTTATAAAGAAAAAAAAATTTCGTACGATACTGTACTTAGAGACCATATTTACACAGAAATATTTAATACGCTGTAGGATTAGAAACAATACGATGTACAAAAATATAAAGCGACAGAGATGTTATATACTACCACTGATCGATGCCTTGTATTAGCTATAATTTCTTTCATCTCTTTCGACAAACAGTTTCGATGAAAAATTATCTTTCATTTATGTACTTAAAAAATTTGTTTCATCAGTTGTATCGTCCTTAGTTCAACCCTCGAATGGGGGGTCATTGATGATTTATTTAACTTTCAAGTGGAGATAAATTTTTCCATTTTAATTTTAAAAAATTTTAAATGATTCTTTAACTACCGTCTTTGTCGACAAATTTCACTATCTAATTTTAATTAGAATTGACCCCTCTATTTGAAAATTGATTGCAATGCTCACTAGTCTTGAATTAAAAAACAAATACAAAGAAACTTTTCGTTCTCAGGAGAAGATTTGTTCGACTCACAATCAATGATTCCATTCACTTAAGGAACACAAATGCTAAGAGAGATGATCGTTGCAAAGTATTGTAATTTTAATTATTTTTATACTGGCACCGTTTACATGCGATAAATGTTAAGCCAACTTTCTCTTTGTTAATCGTTAGTTGTAAGTAATTTAAGTTACACGCAGATATTTAAACAGTGAATACCGAAAATTAGGTGAAATATAATCCTCGCATACGTAAGCGTACAAATACGAATTGTTCACGTAGAAGAAATTCGTCAGTCGTTAGAAATTCTAATAAAACATCGTGTAATTTTTTTTCTGTGCCATGTGCAGAAATTTAACACTTTCGTTGAATGAGAACAAAAATTCATTTCACCGGTTGTATCGTCGCTAATTTAATTGCGATGCTTAATTATATTAAGCATTAATTGTGAATCAAAAATAGTTCTGTTGTGCGAACGACACATCTCACAATCAGATGTGTTACTCGAAATCAGGTAACTTTGTAACGAGATCGAATACCATGTAATTCATGGCGAGAACATGACAAGAACATGAGCAAATTCAAAAATATATGATTACGTATAATTTCACTAAAATGCTGTTGATATTTCTAACGTACGTTCCTTCAATTCGGTACACGTCATCTTTATAAAATTAGCTCGTCCAATTAATCAATGTTGATGATCAGTTGCGTCACTAGATATCTGTTGCAATAAATAAGATTGCCAAATATAAGAAACCCAAATTCGAGGAAAACACGTTTCTTTGTTATCGGGAAACAAAAAATCGGGAAACCGATAAGGGGATACTTGTATTGTCTAGTAAAGGCAATTGCGCGTTTCATTTATCTGTTGTTGCAGGTCTCCTTCAGAATCAGATATCAGTGGAAAACAAATTGTCAGATAACCGGATGATGCAAAGAGTCAAGAAACAACGACAAATTTATTGTAATAACCGAAATGCACGAAAAGTCGTAAAGACCGGTTATATCGGTGCAGACCTATGGATTTACGACATTTTTCTTTCTATGTTTAACAAAACGTAGTGGTCTGGTTATTCTTGAAGGTTTGTTTTTCTAAAAATCAACAGGAATTCAAGTTACTTTCCATCCTTGGCAACGATTCTAAAAATAAACTTGAATATTTGACCATCCAAAACTCGAATGTTTTCTTTGAAATCGTTAAATTGCTAATGATTTTAACGAAGCTCGCCTGTTCTTTAGGTATTCTGCAAATTAACTAAAAATAGTATTTCATTTGTTTACACGAATTCCTAATGGATGTAAAAATAATAAATTATTAATATTGCACACGATATGGATGATATCATGAAACAACAGAAGGTTCGTTAAACGTCGGATGTGAAAGACCGTCGCTATCTTCGTGATTCGTGAAAAGACGTCAACGAGACGAGCTTCGTGTACGATTCCTTGAAATTACCTGCGGAATCATCGCTTGTTTGTTACGATATAGCACTTCATTGATTGTTAACTGACGTCAGATCCCTGGAGTACACAGATTAGATATCTCCCGACCTAATTGTGTTTCACTTGTGCCTCGAACGATAAAGGTAACCGAAAGAAGAAGACTAAATGAGAATCTAAACCAGTTACATTTCCGATAGGGAAAAAACCGCTCTTCTCTTGATTCAAAAGTTCACAGTGATCTCCTCCGAAGAGTCGCTATGGCAACCAGACCGTACCAACTTTGGTCACGATCGGACGAGTTTAGATTTTCCATGAAATCGAATTTTGACTAATTGTAAGTCCAAAACCCAACTTTCGTACCACATATCTCGGAAACCAAAACCGTGCACCGAATAATATTCAAGGTGGTTACTGTGGAGGTCAAGATCTATCACCATACCAAGTTTGGTCACGATCCGATGAGTCTTCCCGGACGCGTCGGATATATTATAGACTTTATCTGGTTTTTTCGGGAAAAAATCAAGAGAAAAGCGAAAAGTAGAATTAGTTCAAAATTAGATTTACTCTAGGTCAAGAACGACTGCTGAAGAATAAAGAAGAGGATCCACACGTCGCGAGACGTTCACCGGTGATGGCATCAAAGGAACTAAACTCGAGAAGGAAGAAAACTTACACAGGAAGGTAGGAGTGTATCTCCAAAATGACGTCAAGAACAACGGAGAATAGAATTTGCACGAATTTCGAGCGCTCTACGTAAAACGCAGCGTTAATTTCTCCGTTACTGTCATTAGCGAATTAAACGTGGGAACGAAGAAAACTTAGACTCGAAAGCTGGAAATAGGATTTAAAGGAATTCTAACTCGAAGAGTCGCGAAACGAGGCGTTAATTCCTCATTCAACTTGTGAATAAAATGAAAGACCGAAGGAAGAAACAGAAACGGAGCGAAGGCGGTAATAGTGTTTCTAAAATAGACTCGCTTCATATAAACAACGATCAAAAATAACGAGGAAAAGGACTTACATTGAACTTTGAACTTTAAGATGAATCGGCGACCTCTTGTTCTAACATTGGAAAACGCCTCGAAGAAACTGCAAATAAAATAAAATAAAAAAATAAATAAATAAAAGAAAGAAAACTCACAAACGGTTGGTGGAAGAGTGGTATTTTAAAAACGATGCCAAGGACGAACAGAGTCTTCTGGAACTATGAACTCGGAAAAGAGGAACGAAGTGACAATTTTTCGATCAATTTCGCGGCCGAATTTTGCGCTGATATCGCGATCGTTGAAACGACAGGCGCGCGCTTCTGTCGAGATTATCAACACGTATAAGATATAAGAGGAACAGGGAACGGCAGTCAGTGTTGTTCTGAATCTAGTTCTCGAGCGTACATTTACTGGACAGAGATATTCAAGGAACAAGACGAAATGCGGTGAGGCAAATATTTTGATTCCCCTGCGGCTACTGCAGTGTTGGGCAACTGATCTGGAATAACAAATCAGATTGAATTTATTCCTTTCACGTCGATAAGCCGAATAAATTGATCGGTTGTTATTCGAAATGTTTAAACATAAAATAAAATAAAATAAATTCTTCCTTGTTTTGAAAATCAATTTGTATTCGAATAACACTCAACGCTGGAGTATCGATGTTACTAATTAGAACAGAATAATATGTTAATTTTGATCATGTTTTTTTAGTATTTGGCTGCTTTTTACTATTCTTCTGCTGGTCACGGTGCTAGCATCCGAGACTTTCGCAAAGAAACCTGGCAAGGATGTGCAATCGAAGGGTAACCACGAGAAGAAGAAGAGAGACGTAGCATACTCCAAGTGAGTCTTCAATCGATATACATTTAGAGGGAAGATTTTTCCAGCATTTAATTTGAATTTTGGAAAAATGTAAGACAAGCTCAAAGATAACGGTCAGATTCTTCTCTTTGTATTTTTCTTTGAGAGAATTTTCTATGATACGTGGGAAAAGATGCAGTATTGGAATTCGCAATGCAGGCGACAATTACGCAACTGTTTTCCACTCGATCGTTCTTATCTTCTCCGCGGTCGACGGACTTTGTTTTTCTATCGATTAATACGCGACGATCGTTTAACCCTTTCGACGATGATGATCAAGAGCTTGTTAGAATCGTTCGATGCATTCTATGCAAGGAACGAGAATATTTTTCATCTGTTTCATCTGTTAATTTCAGAGAAGAAAAATCGAAGGACAATGAAAACAGGAAATTGCAATCGAAGAAGAGGAAGAACAGTGCTGCCGAAGAGAAGAACGTCGAGGTTCAATCCGAGAACGTTAAGACCGAGGAATCAGGAAAAGCGTACAAATCGAAGAACAAGAAATTAAAAGAAAAGGAAAACGTCGAGCCGAAGAGCAACTCGAAGCACGAAGTGAAAGAGAAATCGAAGAAGAAACAATCCAGCAAGTACTCAGTGGAATCGCAGGATGTTCACCAGAAGAATTCGAAGAAATCGCAGAAGAACAAATCGAAACTTGAAGAGAGAAACTTGGAAGAAGACAAGAAATCGAATCATAAATTAGACGGTAAAACTGCTGAGAAAGTTGGAAAGATTAAGGAAGACAAAAAGAAGATGCTTCAAGAGAAGAAGAAGAAGAAGAAGACAACAACAATGGAGGAAGTACCCGTTGAAGTAGAACTTGAAGAACCCAAAATGAAATTATCGAAGCAGGATAAGAAGAAGGTTGAGAAGAATAGAAAGAAGCGTGAAGTTAAAGCGGAAAAAGAAGACAAAGTGGATGTTCAACCAATCGAGGAAGAACCAGCGGAAAAGGAACAGGAAGCGGAAGGTTCGAAAACCAAAAGCTGTTCGCCAGCTGCTGAAGCTGAAGAAGAATTGAACCAAGAAGACCCAGAAGAGTGCAACGAGGCATAAACACCTTGAAACTTCCAATTTTTTCATTCATGCTTCAAACATTTCAATCATTCAAATTAGACCAACACGAACGAATGACGTTTATTATAATTAATTAAGATTGATAAGAATTCGTTATCTCATCAGAGATCGATGATCGACCAATCGAAATATCACACGTTATTATTAAATCGCATTTATTTAATCTCTATCTACGTTGAATCGCAAACGTTACGTGGCTTATTTACAAATAACACCTCTTCAAGGTGTACTGATGATAACAGATAGACGACATACAAATACCACTATGATAACCTACGAAATGTACATATAAGTTGAAGAATAAATACGTTTTTTTTTTTATTATTTTCCTCTGTCTGGAAGTCCTTATTTATTTTAGACAGTTTTACCCATGAATGTCGCGGACCAACCAGTTCCAACGTTGTTTACGGACGAACTGTATTTCACGACCAATCGTTCGGAGGCTGCGGTGAAGGGTGCTGGTTCATCCTAGAGAAATAGAAATAAAATTGATCAAATTTTAATGAATAGGTAATATTGCTGATATCATTGATTTTGGATCATTTAAAAAATTTCAATGTCTTCTTTGAATTACCCCTCCGCAGTAAGTGTTGGACAGAATTATCAATCCTTCCGAATCGACGTCGTATACTTCCACATTGTTGTAGTCGTAACAGCTGTTGCCAATGTCAAACTCAACGAACTCCAACACCACTTTCAAACCACGTGGCACGCTTATGTCCCACGTGCAGGCAATGTTCTGTCGATACTCGTTCGGATACATGGGTGACGTGAATGACCCAGCGTAATTGAATAATCGACCACCGCATCCACGACCTGAGTGATGAAAAATTCATATTTATCTTGCAAAATTTTCGTTGTTATTATCAACGGTCCATTGGACAAAACACCATTATCTTATTGTTTTAAGATAATGTAGAAACATTAGAGGGGGTGAATTTCGTACCTTCATCGGTAGTTGTAAAAGTGATGTCGTAATATTCGTAACTGGACTGCCATTCGGACCAAGAGCGCAAACTCAGCTTGTTTCCGGTACTGAAAATGGGACTTGGTGTCTCCATCGAGCACAATGTTGCCAGAAGTTTGCCATTGAAGCCGCCGTCGTACACCTGTCGTTTAAAGTTTCAATTTATTATTTATTTATTTGTTCGACGGTCGGGTACTCTTTACATAGGAGATAACGAACACAAGGCCTCCGAGGAATCAATTGGAAAATGAAACGATTATATTTTCAAATTTTCAA